ATTGTAGAACAAAAAAACTAGTAGAGAGAGCAGGGCAGGAAGGAAAGAAATAGCTTGATTAAGCCAGTGGAAGACAATGGGCAAAAGAGAGTAAACATGGTCAGTAGAGAAACACCAAACGAAATGACAGAAATAAATCAAAATACATTATTAATCACAATTGCTGTAAATACCTTATTTTGCCAGTTAGAAAGATTCTCAAATTGCATTTAAACACACACACACACACCCTCATCTTATATACTATTTATAAGAGACTCAACTAAAACATAACATGAACGAGTCAGAAATAAAAGAACAAAGTAGACATACCCAGAAATGAGAATTTGGAGTACAGGCCGTGGAGGAAAATTCTCACCCGTTGCAGAAGGAGGTATGTTCGAGGATGTTTCCCACAGTGTTGTTTGTAGCAGTGAAAGATTGGAAACAGCATGAACATCCGCTAGTATGAGGAAGAAAAAATAAAATTTGGCATATACATATAATAAAACACTACATAACAGATAAATGGCTGAACTAGATCAAATGAATACATATTAAAAGCGTAAGGTTGAGTGGAAAAGCAAATTGCAGAAGGATTTCATCATATGATATCATGGATGTGGGTTTTTTTTCAAAGGAAATTTTATTGAAGAGCAATATACATACATAAAAATGTACACATCATAATGAACCATTCAATGAATTTTCACCAAGCGGCACACCCTTGTAACCAACACCCAGGTTAAGAAATAGAACGTTAACAAATATCCCAGAAGATGTCTCCTCCACCTTGCTCTACTCTAGTTACTACCCCTGTCCAAAGGTAACTACTCTCGTAACCTCTAATCCTATAGATTGGTTTTGCCTATTTTTGAAATTTATATACATGGGATCATATACATACAAAGTGTGTACTTGTTTCCTGTCTGGCTTCTTTAATTCCATATTATGTTTGGGGGACGCATCCTTGTTGAAGCATGTAGCTATAGTTTATTCGTTCTCTTTGCTATGCTAGGATTCCATTGTAGGAACGTGCCACGATAATTTATGCTTTTCATTGGTGATCTACATTTGGGATGTTTTTAGTTTGGAGGTATTACAAGCAGTGCTCCTATGATCAGTCTTGGACTTTTTTTTTGGTGCATATGTGCATGCATTTCTCTGAGGTATAAGCTCAGCAATTCCTGGGTCAGGGGGTATGCAGACTTTCAGCTTTAAGTAGAGACTCTCAGTAGTTCTCCCCAAGGGTTTTACCAATTTACTTTCCTAGCTGTGTGTGAGAGTTCCAGTTACTCTGCATCTTATTCACACTTGAATTTTTAGTCTTTTTAATTTTAGTCATTCTGGTGGTTGATGGGTATGACTTTTGAAACACATTCATGCACAACTACTGTACGTTGCCTGTGAATGAATATACATGTAATATAAAAACATGAAGGGGGAGGATAGACACCAACCTTAGAATATTGACTACCTTAAGGCAGAGAGGCAAGTCTGAGGGCGGGGGTGGAATGAAATGGGAGGCTTCAGCTGTACTTATTCATTTTTAAGCATGAGAAACAAATATGGGCAAACAAACATTTTTAGAACTGGGTGGGAAGTATATATGTGTCTTTTCTTTTTCTCCATATTACTTATATTTGGTATACATTGTAATTGAATTTATTTAAGAAAAAAGTTCTTAAAGGAAAAACAGACCCTCCACAGGGAAACAAACAAATTCAAAGTGTATCTGGTTATAAACACAACACTCAAAACATGAGTAATAGACAAGATGTTCCACTTCTGTGTATAATTGTTTCAGTACATAGAAATGCTTTAAGAAACTATAGTACAAAATAATTATGTGGGTCTGATAAAGGACTAGAAGCAAGTACCAAAGTCGAGTATCTCCATTTATAATTTTTTGCAGGAAGGACAATTCCCCATGCTGCGGTGGATACCGCATGCATGTCCATTTAGAAATAAAATTTTCTTGCAGGGTTGGTATGATTATTCAAGCCGATTTTACAGAGGAAAACACTGAGGTTGAGTGACTAAGTGACTTGCCCAAGAGAGAGGAAAAAGAGGAGAAGCAGAGGGGCTTGGCCCGCCCACACTCAGTTCCTAAATAGCCAAGCACTGCCTGAGGCATGCTGGTGCCACTGCCCAGGGCAGGTGTTCACTCCAGCCTTGATGGGAAGCAAGGAAAGGCAGCCTCCCTCCAGTACATCACATGGACAGGAGGACCCCAGGAAATACACATCTCATGGGAGGAAGAGCACAGGGCACATGCATGGGTCAGTTCAACGCTGTTGATGGGTGAGGACAATTGGCTGCACGGAGGAAGGGCCCTGGTCTCCAGCCCCGCTAGGGTGTGACGGAGGTGGGCAGGCAGGAGGAAAAGGCGGCAAGCCACACGCTGCCCAGACTCTCAGAAATGCGCTCTGTGCTTCTAGGGCTGGTGTTCTGAGTGCATCAGAACAGTGGGAGCAGCCTGGGCTGCTTAAGCCCCCTCCCCCAACATTCAGGGCTCATTCTCAGGAAAGACTTCTGAGTGAGAAATCTCAGGTCTCAGACTCAGGCCATCACAAAGGCACAGTAGAGCACTCGGAAGGGTGCTCCAGAGGGCCACCCTGGAGCAAGCTAACCGGAGGCTAGTTTGATCCCTAGGCACAAAATGGTCTCTCCCTCTGTTGGGATTACATCACCCGCTCCAGGCAGTCCTCCTGGGTGGCTTCCTCCAGTGTGGCCACACTGGTATCCTTGCCCTGACACTGGAGGATGGGTAACTCGCTCTCACCCACTTCCTCTTGCTGCTCTGCTGCCTCAGGCTGATCCAACCACAGCCGCTCAAGAAGCTCTCAGGATGTGGGTCTCTGAGTGGACCCTTGAAGCTCCCCTTCCCCTGACCTGGCGGGGGAAAACGCTGCCCCATACACAGTCTCTCTCTCTCTCTCTCTCCATCCCTTCCTCCCTCCCTCTTTTCTCTGTAACAAGGAGGATATACATCTTGCTGTCTTCAAAGACATACTCTCTCTCCAACATCTCAAACTCTGTATTTCATTTCTTTATTCCCTGAGGTAGGTGAGGAGCTAAAGGCAGCAAAGTCTGTTTCCAGCCAAGCCCCTCTGCAAGTCTCGCATAGATGACTTAGCCCATCACTTTGGAACAAGGGGATGTTTTGCACTTACTGTTTTGTTCCCACCTGTGGAGCTTCAGAAGGATTCCAATTGCAGCACCCTGTCCTACAGCACAGGTGACAGTAGGGCACAGTGTTTGTCTTGGGCTCCAAGCTGTCTATATCGTCTTCCCACCCCACGTGACTAGAATTCTATCATTTTCCCCACAATTTGACCCAAAGGTTGCCTAAGAGAAGGCTCGCTTGACTAGTGGATGTATGATTTAGTTTAAAGCATCTGGACCAGGAGTCAGGCAGCCTTGTCATAAGCCTGTCTCTCCCACTAAAGTGCTGTGGGACAGTAGACAAGTCAGTTACCCTCTCTGGGCTTACGATTCTTGGCTGTTAAACAAAAAGCTTGAGTTTGATGGTTCCCAAGTTCTTTCCAGTTCTAGGATGCGGAGTCGGTCTAGAAGATTGGACAAGGTCAGGGCCAGGCCAGTTCAAGGACAGAGGTGATGCCAAAAACCCTTTGGGCGGTTCCTGACATTTCCATTCCCATCAGTGGGCTGCTTTGTTTCAGGTGATGAGATTGTCACAGGATCTGTCTCCTGCCTTGGGGGCATGTACTCCCCCAGTCCAGGATAGAGACAAAACAAAAGGACAGGTCCCTGGGCCTGGGGGGCCCCAGGGCGACATCAAGCCTCAGCAGGTCAAGGAAGCTGCATGTTCCGAACAGCCTTGTCCCAGGATCTAAAATAGGCAGCAAAGGGAATGGTTTCCAGGCTCCCCCTCCGCTAAAGATAAAAATACCGTGGGCCCGGGGATGTTCCCAGTCGTAAATCCATCAGCTAGGACTATTTCTGTCCTTATCCCTTGCCCACGGTTCCTCCTACGACCTCCATCCATCCTGTCCTCCCCGTCCTGGCTCCCCAGCCACCTTTTAGCTGCAGTAGGTTGAAGCTCATCACTGCCTTCTGACCACAGTCCACGGCTTGGCCGTGCCCCTGTGAGAGTCCTAACCTGCACACAGGCGAACAGATAGGCCATCAGGGGCCTCGTCCAACCTCTGGGAGCCTGAGTAGCACGGGTCCACTCTGACAGGCAGGTGGACTCCCGGTATACGCCAGGTTTCCCTGCCTCCATGGCTCAGTTGCAGCTTGTCTTCCAGGAGTAAATGCCCGTTTACTGCACGGCTGTGGGTAGGGTTTCTTCTTCATGTCGTTACAGACATTAAAGTACTACCTCTTAAGGCCACTGGGATGATTAAATGAGACCCCGTATGTAAAACATGAAAATTGGCACCTGGCAAGTTGTAGATGCTGAGAAAGTAAGACCTGCCTTCCCGGGCCAGCCATTCACCGGGAGTTCAGACTCCCACAGCTGACCCATGTCTTCTGAGAGCTCCTTTGAGATTTTTTCAGTCTGAAACGCTAAATCAGCTTCAGATCCGGCTCTTGAAGAGACCTTTGAAGACACCTGGTCTATCCTGAGGCAGTAAAATCAGCTCCCCGGTAACTAACCTGCAGCAGACGCAATGCTGCTGGGCCAGCTGGAGACTATGGTCTCATGTCCAGTCTTCCACTGCCCTCTGCAGGTTGCAGTGAGATACTGCAGTCAGTGCTGGCATCCCCTGTGCAACACCAAGCCCAAGGACCCTCACTTTACAGAGTTGAAGCAGTTTACAGATAAGACAACAAGGCAAGGCCAGGTGTCTGAGGAAGGCAACACCTCGGAATAGCACGGTGACTTACAGCTCACAAAGCACTTGCCTGTTTGATTTTCACGACCACCCTGCCTTGCCTCTGTTCCTAAGCTCAGAGGGAATTCAGTCATTGTTCAGCCCTGATAGACTACTAACAGCTGACAGACACATCTCAGTTTCAGGCCATGTCCTAGAACATTCCAGAAAATCAATGAAACGGACCTGTGTGGATCTCAGTGCAAATACCGGTTTTATTTCTAAAGCTCTTCAGTTTTAATCATGCTGTAAAAGTCTAGAATATTCTGAAGAAAGGAATTTTGTAAGAAAGTGTGTGTGTGTGTGTGTGTGTGTGTGTATAGATGTGAGTGTTTGGTGTGTGCATTCTCTAGCAATGAAGGTTGGCTAATATATGGCAGATGTCAGCATCTGGTGTGATTATGATGATGAAGAAGCATTTCTCACATGCCAACCAGCTGACGGTTTCATTTATTGGTGACATCAAGCACTGGGCTCAGCTGCGTGGTTTACACTATCCTCCTCCTGTGGCCAGAACCGTGGATCCCATCCAGCAGAATGTTGGATATTTTATACAGTGAAGGCACATGACAAGGTCACACTGTCCACCTAGTACCAGGTGGAAATCACCCGTCAGAACAAGCAGAGGGGATGCTTGCCTTTCTCCTATTCTCTTTTCCAACCTCAGACACTTGGGGGGATTTAAGTCAAGTTCATGAAGCCCAGATAGCACATCACAGTAAGGGAACCAAGTCTCTGAGCGCTGCAGTTCCCTTATGTAACTGGAGTTTTTAGGTCATATATTTATAGACGTTTAGATCCAGAGAAGACCTTAAGAGATTATTCCAGTCCAATCCTTTCATTTTGCAGTAAAATGAAGCACAGAAAAGGGAAGTGACAGCCTAAGGTCACAAAGATAATTAGAGACATGGCTGGGATGAGAACCCAGGCTCCTTGACTGTTTTTTCTCTGGCCTATCTTGATTCGAGTAGCCTCATTTGTAGATGGGAACTACTGGCTTCAGTTGAAGATTTTTAAACCTGATCTTTTTTTAATGCACAAAGAGGAAGAAGCTAATGCATTGTAGGTACTCAATAACCGGGTTTGTTGGCTTTTGGTGTTATAGAATAATCTTACTTTATGCAGCTTAAGAAGATTAAATCCAATTAACCTTGAATTTGTTTCATTCTTTATTCTCTCCAATGAAGTGCTTAGAGGTTTGAATCTCACCCCACTGTCCCATTGCAAATCTGAGTGTGGATATGAGGTTATAATATGACGCTCACTGGTTTGAAGGAAAAGCTTTCTGAGGAAGGCTCACAGATTCAGAGTTACTTTGGTTTACGCTTCTGGAGGTTTGTGGAAATCCTCTTTGAAGAACAGATGCTGTCAATACTTGAGGTTATACAGGCTGTCCAGTGAGTTGGGACATAGCACAAACACTTCCTAAATCTATTTCAAATACGTGATTACAACAGACATGAAATGATGCTAATTGCCTATTAGCCACTTGGGCCTAACATTTCTGAATTTGCTTATCATTGTGTTTATAAATCATATTTTTGATCAAAATCGTCCAATGCATTCAATGTTCTTCCAAACACCGTCCTGATGAATCACACTGTTGTCATCCTGCAAGTTTTATAAATTCATGTTCTGCAGAGCAAGTGTCATCTTCCGTGGAATCCCCAGTGTAGGATAAGAAGACTCCAATGGGGCTTTTCTTCAGACCTTCACAGACCAGGGTTTACAATTTTCTGGTACATCAGTGACACACTAGGAAGGAACAACAGAGAACTTACTGCAGGGTCTTCACATAGCTCAGGACACCAGTGCCAGCCACCATTCCGAGACCAGACACCACTCTGCAGTCCCAGATGTTGGGAGTGCCCCCAGGGCAGGACCCCTTAATTTCCTAGTCATTCGTTCCATGTGGTAAGCACTGTGGCAGGCTCTGGAGACCCAGGGATGCCCAACTAGAGAAGGGGCCCTTTGTCATGTGACACAGTCCTTCACAAGCACACTTGCTCCTGGATCAGCTGCTCATGCAAATCCACTGCAGGGATTTAAAATCACCTGGGTGTTGTAGCGTCACAAAGGGGCTTAGGTTTGAAACTCTGCTTTAGGTCTAGGGCCTCAGAGGAGGGGCTCATCAAATCATTGAGTTCTGCATCAGATTATATACAAGGAGCTAACTTTGTAATCTGTGAGCTTCCTGGGAGCCATGCAGCACCTCTGCCCTCTGAGAATGGGGTTTGGGTAACTGTCAGCACTGGGGCCACGGTGGGGAGGTTCTGGGCTATGGGAAGGTTGCTGCACAGGTGTGGGCATCTCCCTGCCTGGGAGCCCTGCGCATGGGCTGTGTGGTCCTCACCCTGAAGCTAAATCTACTGAAAACCTAAAGGGCAGCCTGACTGGGGACCCATCTTCCTTCCTCACGCTCAGTACTGATGGCGGATTTGCCTGCCCCCGGGGCTTCTCCTGTACCCTTCCCATCCCAGGAACTCTGGGTTCATGAGTACCCACTTCATCTTGAAACCCAAAAGGCCTATCAAATTTCCTATCAAATATCCAAGAGGAAATCCAACTTGGGTATCAGGAAGAATCCAGTTCTGCTAACTCAACGGAGGCTGCAAAGGCAATTGAAGAGTCCTGTGTATGCAGGGCCCACTTCAGCCCAACTCAGAGACTGGGCTGCTTCTGAGGCTCCACCAGTGGATGAAACTGTCCTGGCACAGTCTCCTTTTGCCAGGCATTGTCTCCACAAGTATCACATAGGGGCTTCCCCAAAACGATTCCAGCGACCGTGGAGTTCACTGCTACACACGCCTCCAAGGTAGTGACCGATCACCACGTAGTGCAATCATCTGGCTTCCTAAAAGGCTGCAAACTCTTCAAGGGCACTTATGTGTCCCCAGTATCAGCATGGCACAGGGTAATCACAGAACAAATGTGGTCCATCTCATTCATTCATTAATTCTTCTTTTTCTCTCCATTTCCTTAGTACCTCACACAGTGTGTTTAACAAAGAAGGGTCTCAAAAATGCCAGTGATGGACACAAAAGATTAGGCTCTTCTGGAGTTTTATCCATCACCCTCATCGTTATGGAAAATAATGAAATCTGTGGGTGATAAATGTGCTTCAAACAGCCCTCCTTCCTCTCAGGAGGCCTAGCTGCAAGCTGCAGCTTTAAGGGGTTTCTTGTTATTTTCCTGCAGGTTGGAGGAGGTACCTCAACTGCATAGCAGAGGGCGGGCGTGGACCCAAGACTTCCCAGTTGAGAGAGAGCCTACTGTCTCACCCCTCTCTCTGCAACAGAACCTTCCCCAGCCTATGCCCTGCCTCCCCAGACTGAGGGGGCATCATACCAGGGTGGTGAACTTGTCCACGCAGGCATTACGGATCTTCTCCGGGGTGGCGGGGCTGTCTAGACGGAAAAGCTCCTTCGTATTATTATCTGTGTGCTGAGCCCGAGCTGCGCGGATGGCATCCTTGATGGCGAAGAAGATGGAGGCACCCAGGAAGAGGGGCGGCTCCCCAACAGCCTGAGTGGACAGAGCAGAGTGTAGGCGGGGAGTCAGGGGAGGGCCCAGCTTCCACATCTGCAGGGCTGGGGATGTCGGGGAGCCCAGCCAGCACTAGTGGCTACATCGAGCAAGACAGGAGGAACGGTCAAAATTAATCAGAGGCTGAGAACAATCAGTGCAGTAAATGACTCAACCTTGTGGGTATATTTCTTTTAACTCTTACTATGTGATTTTCTCTGGTGACACCGTGCAAATACGATGGACCGTTGAAAGTTATATTAAGTAACTATATTTTACAGACAAAAAGAAATCTGACCCTTTCCTCACAGCAATAAGCCTAGGGGAATAATCTACCTGCAGCTCTGTCACCAGCTCTTACAGGCAGCATAATTATTCTCACAATTTGCTGAAATAGAGGCATCGTGACAAATAGGAATTAAACTATTTTCTAGCAGAGGTTGTTTTATCCCCCAAAGCATAGGTCACAGACTGCCTGTACCAGAATCACTAGGGACACTTGCTAAAAACGCAGGTTCCAGGGCTGTACCACAGACCCACCGAATCAAAATTTCTAAGGGTGAGCCCAGTGGAGCTGCATTTTTTTTTTTTAAACATCTTTATTGGGGTATAATTGCTTTACAATGGTGTGTTAGTTTCTGCTTTATAACAAAGTGAATCAGTCATACATAAACATATGGAGCTGCATTTTTATCATGAGCTCCAACGCCCAGTGATCTGATGTGCAGTGAAGTGTAAGAGCCAATGGCAAGGATCACAAAGTATCCCAGGCCCTCCCACAGTAAAGTAAACCGTGAGATGAGCAAAGGGCTGTGTCTCATTGGTTACAAGTAATTATCTGTCTTCCTTCCTAGACCAACAACTGTATCAATCAGCTTGACTGATTTTCAACCATTTTTTCATACTTATTCAGAGCATGGAGGAAATAAAGGATGGTTATAACCATCCAGGCGTGCTGATCAAGACTTAAGGTCTAGTGGTGGACACTGAAGGAGGTGAAAGTGTGTGCACAGAGGCGCTGCCCCGTGTGCAGTCAATAGGCTGATTCTCATGAGACAACATGGGTGCTGGACCTGTGAGATCATCTCTAAGATCAAGCATTGGGGATGCACACCTGGGACGGGGGTGTAGGTCAGGATTCCACCTACAGGACTGAACTAAGGAATCCCTCTGAGTGTACCCACAAGCGCTGGCTTGGACCACACAGAGGTGGTGTCATCCTTGACCCAGTTCCCTATGTTCCCAGGCAGGACTGCCCACCCCTCCATCGCCCTCACCAAGGCTCGTGTCAGGTTCTCCTCTCTCCTCCACACGAGCCCCCCACAGACCCACATGGCGGGTGGCTGGAGCCCCTCATCACCACCCGTGGTTTCCCACAGGGTAGACTGGAAGGTAGCACAGACCCAGGGCAACAGTACCTTGGATGCATAGATGGCCTTCTTGTTGGGACAGTCACGGAGCAGGGACACTCTGAACTCAGTGGGGATACTGCCAAATGCAGGGATCTTGTAGGTGCTGGGGCCACGGGTGTGCAGGCTCCCCTCAGGGGAGTAGTGTAGCTCCTCCAGGGTGAAGAGGCCCAGGCCCTGGACAAATGCCCCTTCCACCTGCAGGGCAGACAGAGACCGTGGCTACCCTGCCTTCCCGCCCCCCTCACCCAAAGACAGGTGCTGCTTCCCACGGCGGGCACCAAGCCCCACCTGCAGTGGAGCCTGGAAGGAAGCTGAAAAGAGCCCCCCACTGCTTCCCTGGCTCCCGCCCCAGCCCAGGATAACTGATCTGGGCCTTTGCCAGGCATCTGTGTAGGCACAGCAAAGGCACTGACGTTGAAATCAGTTTCAGAACTTGTCGGCCATTCCAGGAGGGACACGCAGCTGTAGGCGTAATTTCCCATTAGAACCTGCCGCAGGGCAGACGGAGATGTTCCTTCCACGTTGCCAGGGGAGAAATGGCGACCCCGAGCTGAGAAGCAAGCTCGTGGGCTGATGGTGGCTGAGTGTGCCGCAGGGGCCCACGCCCCTCCTCTGTGCTGAGTGGGACCATGCGCTTTGGGGCAGCCCCACAAGAGAGGAGGACTTTCCTGGACAGTAGGATTGAGGCTTTCTGAACTCCCAGCCCTGCCTGCCCTCTGGGAGAAGAGCGCCTCTGCTGTAGCTTACAGATCTCTTAAAGGGCACTGCCATGCTCTGCTGGCCCACACGTCTGCTCTCCCAGCCTCACTGCTCAGAATCGTGATATGTGGCACCATCGTAGCTAAGCAAGTGTGTTTGGGGGAGACCAGGTGCTGAGCATCTGTGTCTGCCGTGCTGAGCCCTGTGCCTGCCTGTAGCAGGGGTTCCTCACCACAATTGTTCAGGGAGTTAATAAACAGATTTATGACTAAGTTTCTCTATACTCAGTAACTGTCCAGTTTTGAGAAACAATGCACGTTTTCTGCCGGATGTTCAATACCTCAGTTCTCGATTCCTCCCTCTGTCTTTTTCTGTTCTGCTGCTCTGCTTAATACTCTCATGTTTTCCAAAAGTGATTTTCTTCCAGCCACCCCTTTATTCCTCTTGCTGGAACCCATGTCTTTTGCTCCCAGGACCCTCCACCACCCCGCGCTTGGTAGCATTTACTTCCTAGGGTCCAAGAGCTGACCTCGATGGAAGAGAAATGAGGAGGGAGAAGATGCCTCTGACCTGAGACCCCACGACCTGCACATTGATCCCAGACTCAATCTCCACTCCCCCATGCTCCCACTCAGACTATGCATGTGTGTGCACGTATGCATGCGTTTGAGTGTGTGCACACCCAGTGTTCCCACCACCCATCATCTTGTTTTCTGATGTATGAGCGCCCTTTCCAAGTTTAACCACGTGGATTTGTCTTCCGCCCCGAGAGTTGGGTGGGCTCTCACCTACCTAAATCCCACTCAGGGAGACTCACTTGGTACCGTGCTCAGACCTGCTTAAAAATGACAGTGGACAAGACGCTGTGGCTGGGGACCCTAGGAGGTGGTGGGGCACACCAGTGGCCAAGTCTGTCACCACTCTGACGCCCCAGGAGTCTTACCTGTCCAATGTCAATGGCAGGGTTCAGACTGGAGCCAACGTCCATGACGATGTCTGTGCGGAGGTTCTAGTACAGAGAGCAAAATAAAAGCAGTTTGAAAAGAAAGGGATGCGTGGAATGACAGAGGGGTCTTGGTGACCCTTAGGTTATTAAGTGCCAACCCGAGTAGTACTTTCACAAGCAGAGCACTCCAGGCACACTCAGGCAGGAGTCTGAGTAGGAAGGGCAGGTCCCCAGGTTCCTGAGGCTTTGAACCTGTCTGTGTCTGGGTCGATCATGTAAGGAAGGGGTTCACAAATTACATTCCACAGGCTGAACCCAGCCTGTCCCCTGTTTTTCTACGGCCTGTGAGCTAAAAATGGTTTTCACATTTTTAAATGAGTGACAAAAATAAAAAGAATATGTTGTGACACATGAAAACTATACGAAATTCACATTCAGTGTGCATAAATTACATTTTATGGGAACACATCCATGAGCATCTGTTTACACACGTTCATGTCTGTTTCCACGCTACAAGACAGAGTGAAATAATTGAGGCAGAGTCTCTGTGGCCCAGAAAACGTAAAATATTTACTCTCTGGTCCTTTATAGGAAGTTTGCCAAGGCATGATTTAACACATTATTTTCCCAACCAGAAAGTTCATTCCTATCGGCTCTTTGTATTGCGATTTCAGACGTTTCTCTTTTTCCCTTTAGTACTAAAGTTTGGCAAACTTCTTACCTTATGATCCCCTGTTAAGCAGTCAATTTCCACTTCAGAGCAAGCCACCCCATAGGTGAAGTAGTGGAAAGCATTCCCTGAGTTTGTCTCAAAGCTGTAGCCAAGGTTGGGTGTCCTGGGGGAGAAAAGAGAAAATACTGCACATGTATTAAGAGGAACATGCCCCCCACTCATACACACACAGATAGCTTGTCCCCTAAAATCTTGAGACGCTAAAGGTTTTATTTTTTATTCAGCTGTTCTTCAAAAAAGTCCATGAGTTTTGAACATTTTGAACCTGTTCATGAAACCCAGGCACTCCGGAGCATTTTGTCCCTTGTCTCTGGCTCTACTTTGCCAATGGCCTTTATATGAATCATTCTGTAGAGCTGAGCAGTGGAGGCTCCCAGCATGCTGGCCTCTACATGGTAGAAATGGAGGTGACAGATCTGCCTGAGCTCATGAAGGACACAAGCTACACTCCAAATGATCTACTGAATAGGGATTCAAGATCTCAGAACCAAAGGTTCTTTCTGGGCCGGCTTGTGAGCTTTTCATACAAGTTCACCTGCTCACAGGGCTGCTCACCTTTCTCGAGGTGAAAGGTAATAAGATCAGTACCTCGTGCCAACTTGGGTGCCTCTTAACGCAGCCACCTTGCCTGGTATTACTCCTCATCTACTGATCCCTTCTAAGTTTCAACAAATGATTTGAGCAAAGGGTTGCTAATAAAAGCAGATGCTCTTTTATAATTTTTTTTCTTTTTCAATCCTGACTATCTTATAAGATTCCAATTTTGCATGAGTCAACATATACGAGTGTGTGTGTGTGTGTGTGTGTGTGTGTGTGTGTGTGTTCTCTGCTTATAACACTCTGTATCTGTGCTATTCTATTCACTCCACAGAAATAATGATGTGAGCTGATGTGATCAGAATCTGCATGAAAACAAAACCAATACAGGGCTGAGGGAAAAGGCTTCTCCCAGGAGATTATCACCTTCTTTGACCTCTGAACTCACCATCTTCATCTGGGTGTTCCCTGATATAACCCCAGTTTTATCAACTCTAAAAATGAAATAGGAACTTATGAGAAAATTTGCATTAGTTTGTGTTTGTGTAGCTCAAATATTACATAACCCAAGGAACACTGGCAAAACATTGCTTTGCCCTAAAAGTATATATATATACATTTATGTTACATATATATTATATATATTCATAAATTCACACAAGACCTTTTAAAGCAAACATTGAACTATTTTCCAAATCCACTGATCTGTGAAAGAAAAGGCACTAGTTAAATTTCCCAGAGAAAGCTAAAACATTATGGCTGACAGTAGATACGATCATATCTTTTTACAGCTTCTAAATCAGATGGACAGGGTCTCTGCTACTGAATTTTAAAGTTGCAGAAGATATGTGCTCTTTTCTAAAACTCACTTTAGGTCCACTGAATTCTGCATTTTGTAACAGGACTATGTGCTCTAAATCCTCCTCTCATTCTTTTGAAGGAAAGCCTCCTTAAAGAAATGTGACGCGTAGCACAAAGTAACACACACGGGTAACTCGGAACACCAGACGCCTCTGGTTCTTGCAGGAGAACGCTGAGGGGCGAATGGCTGGTAATTGACCCGCTATGTCAATAAATGAGGAGACAGGTTCAGAGAGAACCAGTGATTCCCCCAGGTGGAATAGTATACTCTAAGACCAGAACTAGAACAGAGGTCTTCCGATATAACAGCTCGTGCTTCCGGCGCATAGCTGGGTGAGCCCACGCAGTTTAGAGCATCTTTGAATTGAAGCTGGTGGGGGTCCATTGGAGAGACAAACATTTTGGTGCAACTGCTCTCTCCTGACCATAGGCTGACAGAGTTCAGGGCTGGAGGGCCCTGCAGAGGTTAAGATGACGACACACTGTAAGACGGGCGAGATCAGCGCCTTACTTACCTGTAAAACCCGGTAGCAGACAAGCTCACTGTACCCCGGTAGGCAGCCATGACCTGAGCAGAGGAAATGGCCGTCAGGAAGGGGGAACCATGGTTTCCAGAAACGCTGGCCCAGCACTAAGCTTTCAGAAGCTTGTCTTCCTCATCTGGAAGCTGATCAACTCTTTTTCCTAGTGATTCTCACTTCCATACCTTACCTCCCCTTCTCACCGTACCCCCTGCACCAGGTCCTCGTCATCTGAAGCCTGGAGCGCTGCAGTAGCCTCTTAACTGGTCTTCCTGCCTCAAGTCGCCTCCTCGCCCTGCCGTGTAGCCCAGCCAAGTCAGAGGGGTCATCTTAACACACCACACTAGTAGCCATGTTACTACCCTCCTCTAGAGCTTTCCATGTCTCCCCATTGCCTACAGAGCAATAGACCAAATGCCTGACATTCAGGACCCCAGTCTTCTCTCTGGCTTTATGTAACACACACATCATTGCTACTCCAGCCAAAATCAAGTGTCAAGTCTCTCCCAATCCTTCATGTCCCCACACGTCTGCACCTTTGTTTACGTGGGTCCTCTGCTATATCTGTCCCAATCCTTTTCTTCCCTCAGCAACCAGCGCAAGCTTGCCTCTTCATCCACTTCTCCTGTCATTACTCCCTAATCTGGGCAGTACAACAGCAGCTCTGTACACGGCTCATTTGATACTTAACATGTTAGCCTTGTGTTCCTACTTATACTTTCCTGTTAATAAAGCTACTCATCTCTCCATCCATTCTATCTCTTTAACTACATAATAAATTTTCCTTTCCTTCCTTCCTTCCCTCCTTCCTTTCCTTCCTTCCTTCCCTCCTTCCTTCGTTCCTTCCTTCTTTCCTTCCTTCCTTCTTTCCTTCCTTCCTCTCTCTCTCTCTCTTTCTTTCAATATCCACAGCTCTAAGATTTAACTTGTTACTGATATAGTTTGCATCATGATCATTGTCAATTACCAAGCACTTTACTATATATCAAATGCTATTGAGTCCTTTACAGATACTGTCTTACTTAATATTCAGTGCAATCCTATAAGGTCAGCACTTATGAAGATTATTATCTTCATTTTCCGATGAGAAAACTAAGGTTTAGAGAAAAAATTTCTCTAGGATCCTTACTATATGTGCATGATATCAAATATATACATAGATCATAGGGGTGGCAGTGATGGCTTATTTTTCAGTACAGTACAAACACTAAAGAGCTTTGATGCCTGTCGTCTCCTGATCACACCCTTCTGATAATGGCCTTTTGGGGGTTATCTGCTTATAAGGAACACTGGACTACATGGCCGATAGCTGAGGACAAAGCCCAGGTCAACGGATTGGAAAGGCATTATTAAAAACAATTACGGTGCCTTACAAATCCATACTAAAATTCAAACTACCAAAATCAACCCACATGCATGTGGTATCTATGAATGTGGGCAGGGGAGTGCAGGTTGTGTGAGGCATAGTAAGGTGAGTGAGTCAGAGAGAAATAGCTTATTTTCTTTGACTCTGTTGAGGGAGATCTGTACTATCTGCGCTGGTTCACGTGTGGTCACATTTTATGTGTTACTGTTATATCCAGTCCTTTCATTCCAACATTAGGGGAAGGTGAGGCAGGGCCACCATGGCTATTTCTGCTCATGGGAGGAGCTGAGGTCTCTCACCTGAGAGACACTTCCTTGCAGCCTCCCTCTGAGGGTTTCTGACATGCAGGCTTCTGAACCAGAAATCAGAGAACTGGGCTCATTCTTATCATGAGTGCTTGTTGTGTCACTCTTAAAATCACAGAGACGATATAAACTCGCGGGCAGTATCTTTTCCCTGCCCCCTCACAGATAGCGTCTCCGGACCCCAGAGCTGGGCAAGGGGAGAGGCTCCTGGGGCAGCCCTCCAAGAGATGGAGGTTTGGAGAAAACGAGGCTCACCAAGACTGCAGACAAGTGGGGCAGGGGACCAGCCCCAAGGGACCAAGGCTTCTCAGTGAGGCGGAGGTAGCACTCACCCCGTCTTCTGAGGCTCAAGGTAGCTGAACCCCTAGTTCCCACGGGGCTGTCAAGATTCTGGATCAAAAATTCTCCTCAAGTGACTTCCCTCAACTGTGAACATTGTAGAGCGGGGCTCAGTATGGCTGGGCATTTACTTGTCCTGTGAAAGTACACAGAGCTCCTCAACTTCTCTTTGCCTGTGCGACTAGATCCCGACCTCCTATTCCTGCCCAGGGTCGGGGACAAAGCCCTGCTCTTAACTTCGCTTTCATTTGCAAAAGCGACTTGAATCAGCTCAGACTTACCCAGTCTTCCCAGGAGCCACTGGGATTCTTTCTCTTGAAGGGTTCCAGCCTTTGCAGGATGGTCTGGCAGGCTTCCTGAAGAACACATGCCCCACATGGCAGACACATCAGTCCTCTGCATTCCCAGACCCAAACAAAACCCCGAGGACCTGCAAGCGACGCTGTGCCCAGAGTGCCTCTCAGACAGCCTTGCCACCCTCTTGGGAATGTCTGAGTCCCAGGGTAGAAGCCGTGGGCTCTTGCTTGGAGAGCACTTCCTGACCCAGTCCTGAGGCTGACAGAGGGGGAGATGTTGAGGGATCCCTAAGGAGGTGCCTTCTCCCGTCAAACGCCTTTGTTTGATGACATCAGACAAAGCACGTGGTCTGACCTGGCTGACCCCACAATCGAATTTCCATTTCGCTCCATTGTCTTGTGTCCTCCCAGAATCCCCTGCTTTCCCTCCAGCTGCCCTTGCCCTCCCACGTTCATCCTTCCTGGCCTTGATGGAAGTGGTTGTGGTTCTTGAGCCCCTCTTTTAGCTTGGTGTCCCCTGGAGAAGAGAGCCAGAGGCATGGCCACAGCCACGAGCCTGCAAGGAGCCATTCCAGCCCCCGGCCCGGGGACTCTCCACGCCCCCCGCCTTGGGCTGGCCCTCAGCATGGTGGCCCCTGAGGCTCCTTACGTAGACGGCCTGTCCGTAGATGTCGGTGCTGACAGAGGCAGCCGTGGGAGAGGTGTTAGGCACAGTGTTAGTACTTGTTTCGCTGATATAGATCTTAGAGGTCGGGATCTTCAGAGCTCTGCTGGCCACCTGCGAACAGAGAGGACGTCACCCCCTAGGGAAGGGCTTGTCTACCTTCTCCCCAAGATGGGATTCAGATTCACTGTTACAGAAAAGAAAATCATTTCGTAAACCATAATTCTACTGAGACTCGGATGTTCTCACATCTGTCTGAATCTGAAGCAGCACTTTATGGAGTGGTTTGGTTGGATTAAAAAAAGTCATAAATGTAATGGTGATGAACAATGCCTTTTTAAACTAACCCTGGCTTTTAAAAAAATCCAGTTTGGCCAGTACCCACAAGCCAAGCAGGTATGCCAACTCTAATTCAGCGCCCCTGGGAGGAGTCCCGTGTGCGTGAGGGTAGCCAGCTACCTTAATACACATAACACACACCTTACACACAGTCACAGAGCCCTAGAGTGCTGGTGATGGAAGTGGCCTGAATCATCACCTGGCCAACCCCTTTGCACAGATGGGGAAACTGAGGCCAAGAAGAGGAGCAGACTTGCCCAGGGTCACACGTAAATGAGCAGCAGGGCTAGGGCCAGAGCCTAGGCCTGCCTCTGCTTCTGGTATGTGGCACTGCTCTCTTTTTCACAGCATCTTCCCTCACGCAGACACCACAGTGCTGGGGCGGATGCCCATGGTCTCCAGACTGCTCACCTGGACCATCTTGGTGTGAAGGCCTTGGCCCATCTCTGTGCCCCCGTGGCTCACCAGCACAGAGCCATCTGTGTACACATGGATCAGGGCTCCTGCCTAAGGGAAGAGAACGATACCAAACAGAAAATCCAGCAAATCCTAACTCAGTTTAAGGCCTGGGACCAAAAGTACTGGAGCCCAGGAAAAAGAAAACCAGCAGTAGAAATTTGGATAGAAACCTCAGACAGAAAAATCAAAGCAGTATAAAACTCACGATCTAATTATATAGTCTTTCAGTAGTTTGCAAAACTATTTTTTTCATATCTCTCTGTCACCTATCCTAAGAGGGAGGTAGGTCTTTGTCATGATTCTCCTGACGAAGAAATGGGATCAGAAAGGCAGAACAGATGTCCATAGTCCTATAGGCAGGAAGATAAGAACTAGACATTGACCCCAGATCAAGTAGGTATGCGCAAGTTCAACTTTCATTTACACAGCAAAGAGTTCCTCTGTTCAGCTCTGTTCCCGTGACAATGGGCTTTCCCTTGCAACACCGCAAGCAGAGGGGGAAATGGGGCCCCAGTGCAGTGGAGATGGACAAAATTATATAAAGCAATTACCTGATTCAGAAAAGGAACTGTGAAGCTTATTCCAAATTTGGTAGGAATTATGCACAATCCTCTCTTTTTCCAACAATTCTCCCTGGAGGGAAGAAAAAAAAAAATTCTCATAGCAACTTCTCCACTATATTCATGTCAGATTGAACATATTTTATGTCAATATCTTTGTAAAATTGGAACAAAGCATCCTTGGAATTGCCCAGTTAGTCTCTGTCATAACTGAGTTGTGCTTCAATTATGTAGACAAAATGAGAACAGCGGAAATTTGGGTTCTAGATCCTCCAGTGGAGCTGAAACAGGGCCCACCCTTGAAAGTCTTGAGTGGGATTCGGATTGGGTCAGAGTGCTCTGGTGATCTTGGACTCTACTCGCCCCAGGGAGGAACTGTGGCTCGCTGACGATAATGATAATACTTTCTTTGTGCTGTATATTTGGTTATCCAAGTAACTCTGTCAGAAAGACAGAGCCAGCACAATTATCCCCACTCTACAGATGATGAAACTGAGACCCAAGGAGATGGAGTGACTGCCAAGGTCACATTTATAGATTAGTGTCAGAGGTAGGCACATAACATGGTGTTTTTAGTCCCAGGCTGGTGTTCTCTAGACTATCGTCTGCCCAGAAGGCAGACAAACATATAAAGATGGACCACACTGATGTGCTATGACGCTGAGTGCTGTGAGCCCCGAGCCCCAGGGCTGAAGACCATTTCAGGATCTTAAAGAGATGGCTGTGAATGAGTTAGCAAACGCAGCAGCCTCCTAAGTTACCTATTAAGTTATTATTCTTATTTTGACTTCAGCAAGAAGGCTATAGAATCTGAAACCCAGAGAAGCCCCAGAACGTCAGGCTCTTCCCCTCCTGGCGCTTACTTGTTGAACTTGTCAACCTCACTCTTCCGGACGTGATACTGAGAGCTCTTCAGGCATTCATCCCAGCACCTGGGCAAGTTGAAACCCTCAAGCCTCTGGTTGAAGTGTGTCAGGTCCCCTTCTCTGTACAGGTTCTTCCTCCGTACCTTCCCAAGGAGAGAGACACTGAGGCCAGGTCGGTGGCAAGAGACCAGGGGGGCATAACTGGAAGTTGAGCTTCCTGCCCCTCACCAGCGCCTGCCCATCCTCTACCCCCACGGGAGATGTCCAAGATACAAAGCAGGCTAACCTCCTCTGACCTGTGCCCCCAGATTCCCCGCTTACTTCCTCTGCAGGCAGCCCACAGGTCACCGCGACGTCACTCATCCAGTGCTCGGCAATGAACAATGCCTGGGGCCCCCCAAAGCCCCGGAAGGCCGTGTTGGAGGGCAGGTTGGTCTTGCACAGCCGCCCAGTGCCCCGGACATTGGGGATTTTATAGCTGTTGTCCATGTGGAGTAGAGCTCGTTCCATTATCTGAAGCAGAAGAAACCAAAATGGGAGAAAACGATGCATGGATTTCATTGGCTCCTCCAAAAAGGAATTTCAAGGGCTGTGAGCATCCCCACCTCTGCCAGCCCCACAGTCAACTGTTCTTCCTCAGGCCCAAATTATTTCTTTCCTGGGGTATTGCAAACCTCCTTAGTGCACTCCTGGCCTTCTGTGTCTCCTCCTTCTAATTTATGCCTCATTCTGAAATATGAGGTCATAGCAGGTCAAGCACTTGCTTCAAAGTCGCACTTACTATCTCCAGAGTAAAGTCTGTATATCTTTAAGCATGGAATTCAAGACACTTACTGACCTTTCCCCAATACACTTTTTTTTAAATAAATAAATTTATTTATTTATTTATTTTGGCTACATTGGGTCTTCATTGCTGCCCACGGGCTTCCTCTAGTTGCGGTGAGTGGGGGCTACTCTTCATTGCGGTGTGTGGGCTTCTCATTGCGGTGGCTTCTCTTGTTGCAGAGCATGGGCTCTAGGCACGTGGGCTTCAGTAGTTGTGGCACGCGGGCTCAGTAGTTGTGGCTCTCGGGCTCTAGAGCGCAGGCTCAGTAGTTGTGGTGCACGGGTTTAGTTGCTCCCCAGCATGTGGGATCTTCCCAGACCAGGGCTCGAACCCACATTCCCTGCATTGGCAGGCGGATTCTTAGCCACTGTGCCACCAGGGAAGTCCCCCCCATATACTTTTGATCCTCTTTTCTGACTGCATGTTACTCTCACCCGTAAGGCCCCTCCCCACCATATCTACCTGCTAAAATCCCCATTCAGCTCCCACATGGAGGAGCCCCTCCCAGATCTTCTAGTTGGAATTGATCACTTGCCTCTTTTAAAAAATTGGTGACTTTATTCTCATTAAACTTGTACTGCAAATAGTTTAAAGAATCAAATACTTCCATAAGCCACGTTATACAAACCAGCAGCTGCCTCCGCTTTCTTCCGTCCACTGCCCAGAAGCAACCACTTATTCTCTGTCAGCCATTTACATTGTCCTCCACATCTCTAAATAATGTTTATATCTGTCAGCTATTTACATTGTCCTCCACATCTCTAAATAATGCTTATATTGCCACTTCTTGACTTGTTCAGTTTTAGACTTTTTATACTGTTTTCCCATCATGGAAAAGGAGGATTTAGTTCCCGCCCAGCCCCCTTTCTCTACATATACACCAGCTTCCTATCTCGCCTCGTCCTTGTATAGTTATACTTCCTTCTCATCAACTGTCCATTTAATCATTCTATAAACATCACTTACAGCTGAACCATGTAGTTATACTAGGTTTACTTCTCTTTCTTGATAATATTTCCCCCCTTGGAGTTAACAAGTATCTTTACTTTTTTCATTTGCTTCATTTTCTATGCACATATTACTACAAATTTGTTTTCAATATGTTCAAACACATTTGATTTTCTATTAATCTCATCTTTTTGAAGAAATTGTTTCTGGAGCCTTCTGGCCAACTTCAATCTAAATTGGCAGCCCCTAGGCTTCTGTTCAGCTGTTGCCCAGGAGTTTTCCCCTCACTTTCATCCCAAGGATTCCCTCTGCCTCTCTCCACATTGAATCTCCTGTTTCTGGATCCCATGTCTTCCCTTTTCTTAGTTTTACACCCTTATATGATTGGAGTACAACCGTCAACATCTTCCCCAAAAGTGTATATCTAAAGGTACATTTTTGAGAACTTGCATGTCTGAAATGTCTTTATTCTACTCTCACCCTTAATTCATGACTTGGCTGTATACAGAATTCTAGGTTGGCACTACGTTTCCCATTTACCCTCAGCATTTTGAGGGCATTTTACTAGTGCATTCTAGCTCCCCAGTATTGAGAAATCCAACCAAGGCCTTTCCAACTCTTGGAATGAGTTCCGTTTTTTTTCCTCCCTGAAAATTGTAAAATCTCCTTTGTCCTCAGGTTTCTAAAATTTCACAATAATGTAAATTAGCATAAGTCTATCTTCCTTCATTGTGCTGGTTACTGGATGGGCTCTCTTAATCTCAAAATATATGCCCAACAGTTTTGGGAAATTTCTTGAATTATTTCTTAATAGTTTTCCTTCTCTCTCTTTTTTCTATTCTTTCTTTCTGAAACGTCTATTATTTGGATCTCCTGGGCTGGTCCTCAGATTTTCTTGTATTTTCTTGCTATTTTTCCCCATTGTTTTCTCTTTTTTTAAGAGAGCACCTCAAGTTTCTTTCAACCCTTCTGCTTTCACAGTTTTAATTCACAAGGCTTCATTTTTATTCTTAGACTGCTTCATTTTTATAGCATCCTGTTCTTTCTTTAAAGTGTGATAACTCATCTCTCTGATGAGCTAAATGGTAGCTTTTGTTTGTTCGTTTCATTTTGGCTTTAATTTACTTCCCCATTTATAGCCTCTTTCCCACAGGTTGCTTTTGGGGTTCTTTGATTTTTTTCAGTCTTAGTCATCCTACATGATTTTTATATGTCTCAATTCCATTTTTGCTTTCCCTTAGCACTTTGTCAATTGTACTTCATTTTATCTTTTATTATCTGTCTCCCCCACCATACTGTGACCTTCTAGAGAGCAGAAACAATGCCATATTCTTCTATATGTCATCACCCTAGGGGCTTGATAAATATTTGCTGGATTGAATTTTAACACTTGTAAAATCTTTGGGGATAAGTCCTATATCTTTTTCAACCTGATTTTCCTACAACACCAAGAAGCAAGTGTTATATTTGGTGAGACTACCAGAAATGTTTTCTTTTTTGAACAGTTTCCTACACTAGATCTGAAGTATAATGTTTCCTAATTGAGCCAATTAGAGAAGCCCTTAGCACATTCAAAGTGGGAAAAATGGGGAACTTCTGCTTCTCCTGAAATGGTTGACTTCTTTTTTAACAAGAATCTATGCATATATAACTAATATGGTTATAAAATTAAGATTTAAAAAACTTAAAAGGTAGTACCCCCAAGGTAACTTGGTTAATTTTCAAAATGACAAAAATATATGTCATATGAGAAGGTTCAAAGCAGCATTATCCATGAAGCTAAAGACTGGAAGCAACCCAAATGTCCTTAAAGTGGTGAATGGAAAACAAAAAATGGTCTATTCATACAACGGAATATTCTTCATCAATAAAAAGGAATGAAGGAATGATCCATGCTAAAACACGGGTGAACCTCAAAAACATTATTCTGAGAGAAAAGAAGCCAGACAAGAAAGACTACATAGTATATGATTCCGTTTATATTAATTGGCCACAAAAGGAAAATCTGTAAAGACAGAAAGTAGATTAGCAGTTGTCTGGGCCCGAGGGGTAGGAACAGGAGTGACTGCAAATGGGCATAAGAGATAATTTTGAGGTGATTGAAGTGTTAAAAAAACTGGATTGCAATAATGCTTGCCTGACTCCTTAAATGTCCTAAAACCGTTAAATTGTAGAACAGCTGACCCTTGAAAAATATGGTTTTAACCGTGTGGGTCCACTTATAAGCATATTTTTTCAATAAAGATATTGGACATTATTTTGGAGATTTGCAACAATTTGAAAAACTTCACAGATGAACTGAAGAGGCTAGAAATACCAAAAAATTAAGGAAAAGGTATGACATGAATGCATAGGATATATGTAGATATTAGTCTATCCTTACATAGGTATAACGTAAGTGATTTTAAATATAAAATAATATGTTAGTTTTCTTACTGTTTTATAACTTTGCTTTCAAAGAATTATATTACTGTTCAGTATGCCCCTCTCTTGTAATTGGAGAAACTGCCTCTCAGCCTATCATCACAGGGAAGTGGGTTTTTAAAAATGTAACAATGTTTTCAGTACTATATTATGTCTATGACTGTAATCATATACTATATGCCATAAAAATTACTGTGTGTCATAAAAATTTTATAACGATTCATTCATTAGTGTATAGGCTAGGCTATCCTGAAGCAATCGTATTGATTACACTGGGCTACCATAAAGCAATCATACTGCTGCTTCTTCGTTATCAATGCATGAATCACTGTATCTGTAAATAAACATGAATTTCTCTTTCACATTATCTTTTCATTGTTGATGTCTAGTGTTAGTAATTCAAATAACATCTACAGTGTTTTGTATCATATAAGATAATATTGATGTAGGTACTTACAGACAGACGGTTCATCCTATAAACAGATCATGTAAATTTACAGTAGCGATAAATATAGTACAGTACTGTATTTTCTTCTCCTTATGATTTTCTTAAGAACATTTCCTTTCCTCTAACTTATTTTATTGTAAAAATACATATATAATACATATAACATATAAAATATGTGTAATTGGACTGTTTATGTGATTGGTTATGTTTCCAGTCAACAGTAGGCTATTGGTAGGTAAGTTTTGGGCGAGTCAAAAGTTATACACAGAATTTTTTTTTTTTTTTGCAGTATGCAGGCCTCTCACTGTTGTGGCCTCTCCCCCTGCGGAGCACATGCTCCGGACGCGCAGGCTCAGCGGCCATGGCTCACGGGCCTAGCCGCTCTGCGGCATGTGGGATCTTCCCGGACCGGGGCACGAACCCATGTCCCCTGCATCGGCAGGCGGACTCTCAACCACTGTGCCACCAGGGAAGCCCAACACAGATTTTTGACTGTGGGGTTGGGGGTGGTGCCCCTAATGCCTGCGTTGTTCAAAGGTCAACTGTCCTTCAAATGGGTGAACTTTATGTTATGCAAACTATATTTCAATTAAATTATTTTTAAAAAGGTAAATCAAGTCATTATTTAAAATTCAAACATCACAGAAATGCATAATATAGAAAATGACAGTTAGTATCCCCCCTTAATCCCACCCAGTCACTGTTTGGAGTATGGTCTATCAGACTTTTGTCATGCGTATCATTAAACACACACACACACACACACACACACACACAAATTAGTATTACATTCATGCACTCAATGTCACCATACTATACATAAAGTTTTGTAACTAACTTTACTTGCTTGGCAAAATATCCTGCACCAGAAGGTTGAGTTTCTAGTCAGATAAGTAATATGATCACTTCCATGCTTTAGAGAATAACCAAGGATGGAGAACCTGAAGGTGGGGACCAAGTAGGAGGCTATTGCAACAACAGGCAAGGATTGAGGAGGCCTATTCCCGCATGTGCAAACATGCTATGGGGCACACCCGTGACCTCCCAGTCACCCCGGATGCAAGGGCACATCCTACGTACACCGAGAGAGAGGTCCTGGCTGTTCCCGGCATTGCTGTAGTGATCCACCTCCACAGCCACAATCTTCCCCGTCTTCATGAAGCCAACCTGAAAAAAAGGAGAGTGAGTTCTCAACTGTCCCCTTCCTTTGTCTGTCTCTAGCCATCTCCTCCCACTTACGCTACCTGGAGAAAACAGAAAGAATAAGACATCCCACCACAAAATAAAGTCGAACTTAAGAGATCACCAGACCTCACAGGTGAAGAAGAGAGGAACCAACATCTCCCCAGTGATGGACCCTGGACGCCCCTTCTCCCTACACTCCTCCTTCTTCCTCCCTACTCCTGGCTTCTGGTTCTACCAACGGAAGTGAGGAGGTAGAAGAAAGAACACGGGTCATGATAGGTCAGGGAGGGGAGGGCTGGGAAGAGAAACTAGGAGAGAAACTGGAGACTCGCTCACAGCTTTTGGCCAGAAGACAGCAAAAGTTACACCTTGCACAAGCATGAAAGTGCTTTCACATCCCCAACCTCGTGTAAACTATCTAAACAAACCCTGACAGGCCATTTCATAAGCAAGGAACCTGAAACCCCACAAGACCAAGTTACTTTCTTGGAGCCCACAAAAATTTGGGAATAAGAGAAATGCAATCCCTTTTGGTGAGTTAAATCATGGAATAAAGTCAGAAGAGGCCAAAGAGGAGATGTTCAAAGCCAACTTGTGGAGACAGAGGGCTCCCAGGTTTATAGCACCAGACTGGGACCTGTAAGGTTCTACTGGTGTGTAGAGAGGAGGATGCATGGTCAGAACAGTAGTTGGTCATCCACAGAAGCCCAGAAAAGGGACAGTCCCACAGGGCACTTGGGTAGTGCCCAGCCATACATGTTCTGGCCAAGCAGGCACCCTCACAGCTTATACCTGACCAGGCCCCTGGAAAGTTGCATTCTCATTGGAGATTACTAAGTGGTCATTCTGACTTTGACATCAGGCTGTAAACACATTAACATTAGGCCATCCTGTGGGATGGATTCACCCCAGATCTGCTGACAAATCATGTTTCCGAGCCTGAGTGGACAAGGACCAGATTTGGACCCCAGCGAATTCACAGAAGTCACGCACAGCATCCCGTGGCATCTCTTGGGAAGTGGCCTGTCAGCCTCCCCCAGGATCACCCTCCTATGTTGCTGTTGGTTGATTTGAATTTCTCTCCTTGTTATTCCTTCTTTGAATTTCTACAGGCAGTCATGACAAAAGTCAGAGTGTATCCCAGGATCCCTGAATCTCTATCCCCAGTTTCCTAAGCAGAGGGCACTGCCCACCCGACACAGCCCCCGACATCTAGAACCTTGTATCTGGCCAAGAAGGGGTGTCTGCCGCCAGTTATCAGCATGTCCTCATCACGATCCAGCATGCAGCGCACCGGGTAGCCAGTCCTGGGGGAGGTACCAGAGCATGAGAAACCTCTACAACAGCCCAGCCCTGTGAGTCTCAGGGATAAAAACAGCAAGGAAGCCTTCTTTCTCTACCTGGTACACTGGACTGCTTCGCTCTCTAGACACTGTGCTGGACAAGGTGGGGGACATCCAGGTGTGGGGTATGGGGTGTGGAGTGTGTCCTTACCTTTGGGGTCCTCACAGCCAGGTAGGAGAGATAGGACATGGACACATGCATTTGAATACAATGAACCAGGTGATGTTGCCCTCACCCCTATGCCCACGAGTTCTAAACATCGAGGGCTGTGAAAATTTGAAGCAAGGGGAATCTACTTCCCAAAGGGGGGAATCCAGGAAGCCTTCCTGGCAGAGGCAGCCTTATTCCTCTTCCCAGAGCCCACTGGGGGAACTCACTTGTATGCAGCCAGGGCCACAGCCACAGTCATCACGATGCCCCGGGTCTCCTTCCCTCCAAAGCCTCCTCCCATTCTCTTCACTCGGACCAGAATCCGGTTTACTGGAACCCCCAACATTTTTGCAACAAAGGACTGTGGGCAAAAGAACAAAATACTCCCAGTGAATGCATATGCCACCTGGACTTACTTCAGGCCTGACGCAGAGCCTACCCGATACACAGAAGCCTAATTACTGCTATGAACTCTGAAATTCCTTGATTCGAGAATCCCCCTCCTGTCCCAGGGCAGCCCTTGGGTAGTGGTGCCAGGGTCTGGCGCACATCAGTCACTGTGCACTGAATTCAGACACTTGTTTTTTTTTTGTTGTTGTTGTTGTTTTGTTTGTTTTGTTTTCTTGTTGTTGTTTTTTTTTGCGGTACGCAGGCCTCTCACTGTTGTGGCCTCTCCCGTTGTGGAGCACAGGCTCCGGACGCGCAGGCTCAGCGGCCATGGCTCACGGACCCAGCCGCTCCGCGGCACGTGGGATCTTCCCGGACCGGGGCACGAATCCGTGTCCCCTGCATCGGCAGGCGGACTCCCAACCACTGCGCCACCAGGGAAGCCCCTAGACACTCATTTTTAACCAGAGGGGTGAGCAGCTGTTCACAGCCTACTTTCAGAGCCAAAATTCATTCCATTTGGCCAGGAACTGGTGGGTCACGAGGGTAAGACCAGCTGCCCAAAACACTGGCAACCACTGTCCTATTACATGCAATAGAGAAATGAGGAATATTTGAGCCACTGCAGCTAATGTAGTGGTCCCCATGGCTCTCACTTAGCACAACCCCTTCATTTAATAGATGAGGAAACTGAGGCCAGATATGATCTGACCAAGGCAATACAGCACTGGAATGATAATAGCTAACATTTTCTAGGCTCTATCCAAGTTTTAAAACTCATCTAATCATTACAACGTCCTGGGCAGGCCCCATGTTATAGATGAGAAAGTTATATAACAAGCTCAATGACACCAGCTTGTTGGTGACAGGGCCTGGCTTCGAACCACTACCTTCACATGCCTTCCTGGATCAGCCCATGTCTCCCTCTTCCCCGGCCCCTTGTTGACCCACTGGACACCTACCTGGGTATTCATGGTATTCTGTGTGGACACAAAGAGCTCCATCTCCCCTGCCTCGCCTTTCGGGACAGCAATGGCACAGTGAGTCTCCAGATAGAAATGCTCTTGGCCACCGATGTACAACTCGCCTGGAGAAGCAACAAGACTCCCCACAGTGAGCCCGATGCTGCAGAGGCGGTGAGTTCGCTTAAGGAGAGAATGTACTCATGCAGGGCCCTGTGCAGTTACCAGCTGTTCACAGGTACCCTTTCAGTTCCCCAACTGGGATGGAAAAGGGTCTCAAAGTCTTAGCCATCTGGGAGCTGACCCCCCGCACGCTAACAAAGAGATCAGAACGACACTGAAGTGCATCAGGTGTGAAGCTCCCTTCCTGCTGCAGCCAGCGGAAATGAAAGCTTTTTAGACTATCATTGTAAAATTTTGGAAAAAGTAAAAAAGGAATTAACAGATGTGATTCAGAAGCTGAAAATAAACAGCATCTCCCAGACCCCAAGCTGTCAGTCCAGCTGGATAGCTGGCATACTAGTAACTTAGCGATGTACAGAAACCAACGTAGAAAACCATCCCCAAAGGGGGCTGATAGGCAGCCTTGCTCTGGGGTGAGAGCTCTGGACCTAATTTCCCAGTGCGGGAGGGAAAGGGGGAGGAGAGGAGAGAGCACTAGCTGGAGATGGGTGAAGACTGCCTTCAGGCAGATGGGGAGGACCAGACGTCTGTGTAGCCAGAGGCTGGGCAGACCCAAGACTGGTCAGACATCTGTGACCCTTTATTTTTTTTTTATAGTCTTTATTGGAGTATAATTGCTTTACAATATTGTGTTAGAGACATCTGTGACCCTTATCTTCCCTAGACAGTCTTCCAAATCCAACACATTATAATGTCTCCAGAACCACTTAGGTATGTCCAGTCTAGAGACAGGAGAGTAGAGATTAAGATGCTGAAGTTCTTTCCCAGCCACCTGTCTAGTATTTTGTTACAAACAACAGAGAGACTCTTCTGTTAGGAAATGTCAGGAAATCACTCCCTTGCTCCAGGGCTCAGGTACAGCTCTTGAATTTAACTCATAAACCAGGGCCACCCCATTCCCACTGCTGCATCATGCGGCCATACCTGAAACAACATTATCTGCTTCCGAAAACCCCTTCTTGAGGTCTCCTTTCTCAATCTTCAGCTCAGATCCATAAAAGGAATTGTTTTTTATAGCATCCTGAGGATTAAAACAAAGCTTCAGTGACTTGGCTTTAAAGGACGGAAAGTGGCTTAAAGGGATTGGGGAAGAGAAGCTCTTGGAATTATTACCTCTCTCTTCCCACATAAGTCACACAGCCATCTCTGTAAGTTTCTTATATAGACTTAAAGCTCAGTTGTAGCCCAAGGTGTCCTATTTCTCTATTTCATTAGATACAGACATACAACCCTGGATCTTGAGGAAAGCAAAGAATCCCTCAAGGAACCAGCTGGAGCTGAAATTGGGAAGGAAGAACTCAGCTTGGCCATTTATGGACTGAGTCTAGGATCATGATGGGGAAGGATTCATAGGACCACACAATCGCAGGCTGGAGGAGATTTAAAAACTTATCGGGTCAGATTCCACCTGCTGTTTGAATCTCCTCTAGAGGATCCTAATAAAGGTGTCTCCAGGAACAGGTAGCTCTCCCCTCTCCAGGCAGCCCATTCCCCAGTTACCTCAATCGTGATAATGGCTGGAAGATCCTCATAGGTGACTTTCACTCCATGGGCGGCTCTCTGTGCGTGTTCTGGGGTGTCGGCGACCACAGCACCAATGACGTGCCCAACACAAGTCACCTAGGAGCAGAGCCAGATGGTTAAAGAACATAACATCCTGTCATGAAGCAAATTATTTCTGATTGTTCAAAAAAGCAAAGGAAGTCTCGCCCCCATAATTTTTTAAGGTACATTTAAGGAATGTCCTGAGGCCTCTTCATGTTCTTATCCTACTATTTGGGGTTATGTGCTTCTTCATAAGTGTTTAGAATCAGTAGAACTGGAATAGGACTTGGAGATAACTAGTATCTGATGGCAGCCTCCTGAGAAGCTGCCCAGGATAAAATGTGGTGATTGATTAGTGATGTCTGCCATGAGCCTCAGAATGGAAAGCAGGGCACCATGAAGTATATCTGTCAACTCAGATCTACCCCAACACCCTTGTTCTTCATATTAAGAGATGGAGACCCAGATGGCAAGATCACAGTTGCCTCACTACTAGACCATGACTAAATCTTAACTCTTGACTTCCAGTTTTATTTTCTTTCTACCACTCTACTCTCTTTTATCTTCTGTTTCTCAGATTTATACCAAAAGTTTCTCAGAGGCAGCAATCATGTCTTATCTTTCACCTAGATGCCCCAAAGTGGTCATTCCCCAATACTGGTTCTTAGACGTGATGACCTATAAACCAGTTTTTTTGGTTGTTAGATTTATAGAATAATTAATGATTATTGTTTTCTTTTCATTTAATAAATTCAGTTACTATAGAAACTTCATGGATCTCCTTCAGGGATAATTTTTTCCCAACATCCTTCCAAAAATAAACAAAAAAATTGTCCAACTCATCACTTGGGAAGATGAGATTTCTGACAATAGGAACCAATACTTAACATGTCTTGTCTCTGATAATTACCTCTTCAGGACCCAGTTAAGCTCTTGACTTAATTGGTTAGCCTCGTGGTTGTTGAACCTGGCTGATTCTCACTAACCATAATGCTAGTTATGGTCTTAGAGGCTCTGGAAGTTTGTAAAGCAGTTTGTCTTCTATCAAACGCTCTCCTTTCAGAGTCCTTGTGTCTCAGGGTTATAGTTTTTCATTCCCTCCTTCACTTTTAGCTTAATAATAAGTTGAATTTGTCCTTCAGCAACACCTATCAACCTCCAATTTGCAACATTTGATCTGTACTGGAATTATAAAATGACTGACAACTATCCTATGAGTATACAGGTTTTTGTAGCAGCTGCCTTGAATGTTTGGAATTTTTTTTTTTTGGCAGAACTCCATATATGGTTGAAATCAATAGATAAACTTTCATGTAAGTGAATTATCAATACACATAGTGGTGGTATTGTAATTGTAATTCCTATTCTGTTTGGTTTGTTTAGTGTATTTTTATTTTCTTTTAATAAAGGAGTTTAATACTGTACACTTAAGAACCTGATTGTTTGTTAAAATACAGTCACAGGCCTTTTTTTAATGCCACTTTGGCATGGAGTCATCCTACTATGTCTTATACTATGTACAAGCTGCAGCCATCAATGAAATAAATAAATAAACATTAAGTTAAAAGTAAAAGTGCTACCAGGCATATTCTATCCCTTTACTGATTGTCCTGAATACTGGCTAATTGGATGATGGCCGTGATATGTGCAAATGTATAATCTTTTCAAGATCAGGGATTTGGAGGAAAAAACACAAATTAAAACTTAAATACTCATTTCACTAACTTCATATTTTTTTAAAAAAAAAAATCCAAGATGTACCTTATCCTTTGCAAAGACTGTCTCATCATTAAAAAGTCCAGTTTCATTACTCCCAGGAATATCATCAGCAGAGAGAAAGCAAACAAAGCCTGGCACCTTCCGCGCTTCTGAAATATCAATGGACCTGCAAGGAGGAGGAGGAATGTGAGGGGCCAGGGAGGAAAACAAGCAGAAGACCTGTCACCTGTCACCTGACTCAGTGATGAACTATGCTCTGCTTCTACCTGTGTATCAGTAATTCTTTCCCAAAAGATTGTATAATAGAGAAAATTTCTAAAATATCTTCAGCTATACTTTTTTTTTTTTTTTTTTTTTTTTGCGGTACATGGGCCTCTCACTGTTGTTTCCTCTCCCATTGCGGAGCACAGGCTCCGGATGTGCAGGCTCAGTGGCCATGGTTCACAGGCCCAGCCGCTCCGCGGCATGTGGGATCTTCCCGGACCGGGGCACGAACCCGTGTCCCCTGCATCGGCAGGCGGACTCTCAGCCACTGCGCCACCAGGGAAGCCCAGCTATACTTTTATATCTTATAAATCTTGCTCCTTGTAGTTCCCCATCCAATCCCATCCATCCCTTCATAGGGAGAACAGATACTATCATCTAGAACAGGGATCTATACCCTCAAAGGGTCTATTGATAGAATTCAGGGATCCATGAACTTAAACTGGAAAACATTTTCATCTTAAAAAAAAAAAGACCCATTACCCAATTGGATAACTTTGTCTTCTTTTTGACAGTTTTTCCTCCACCCTAACGCTTCCCTTTTCTACCTCCTATCCTATCCTATCCTATCCTATTCTGCAAATGCTGATTAAATGCTTACCACGTGGAGGCCACTGTGCTGAGTGCTGTGGGAGATATAAGATGAATAGGACACATTTGTCCCTATGGACCTTGTACAATGCCCTATTTTGGTCTCCAAGTACAAGAGAACCGAAAAGCATTTACTCTGGAGAGCTCCAACACCCACATCACAGCTAATACCTATCCAGATTCAGCACATTAGGGCCTTTGCTGTACCACTCAGTTTCCTCATCTGGAACATGGGGATAATAATATGACCTGCCTATAGGGTTGTGGCGAGGAAGAGATAGGGCCACATGTGTAAAATGCTTTAAACCAGGCTGCAGCAAATATTGTGTGACGTGAGTGTTTTATCATCACCATCATCATCGAGATAGAAATTCTTGCCATTTGGGCTCTCAAGGTTCAACAAATGGGTACAAGTGATTATTCTCTGCTGGGTCCTTTGTGGACACTACCACTGATCCTCACAAAAGTACCCTATGGAGAAAATGAGAGCTTAAGCACACAAGCCAAGGTCAGGTTGCTAAACACTGGAATGGGAAGTCAATGCCAGGCACTCTAAGGCCTCCTTCTTCCCTTTGGTGCTGACTCAAGTTCTCCTGAAGATGTGCACTGAAGTTTAGCCCAATATCCACAGTGAAGATCTAAGAAAGGCCTTTCAGCAGCTCCTCATTGCTTTTCTGGCCAAGTGTAGTGTCCCTGTTCAGCAGCCCAAGGCTTTCCTGATCTGGCCCCTGCCTATCTCTCCAATGTCATCCCCCCACCCTCCCAGCATCCCTGAGCCCCTCACGTCTCCTGTTTCTCTCCAGACTGGTGTTAAAAAGAGTTGCTGTGTTCTTCTCTGGACCGGGAGGCCCTGGAGGAGGCTTGTCGTCATGGCATCTCCAGGGCCTGGCAGGTGTTCCCTGCACCCCCTTCCCAAGTGTTTTTTCTGCACGCACTTGATCTTGGCGTGGGCCCGGGTGCTGACGACAAGCCGGAGGAAGAGTTCATTCTCGTAGCGAGGGATGTCATCGCAGTACACAGCCTCCCCAGAGGCCTGCAGGGCCGCGGCCAGGTGGGGCAGGGGCCGGCCCACCATGTCCTCCTCAGACTGACCCTTGGGCACCTCCTGGAACAACATGGCCACCAATCAGGCAGAGCTGCAGAGACACTGTTCCCCTAGAGGCCCCAGGGAGCCACGGAGAGCTTCAGGCCAAAGCAAATGGGAGGAGTGAGAATGGAGGAGGCAGGCGGGGAACAGGGTGAAAGAAACAGAAGGCAGGTAAGAAGGCATTGAGAAGAGTGGTCACAGTATCACTATACAGTCAGCCACGGGCAGCCGCCCAGGACGCCCCATGGATACCCACATCTGCAGATGCTCAGGTCCCTTATATAAAATGGGGCAGTACAGTTGGCCCTCTGTATCCATGGGCTCCACATCCACAGATGACGGCTGACTATATGCAGGAGCAAACAAAACAAGGAACCTAAATGTCCATTTGTTGAGTTGCGTAAATAAACTATGCTATGCTCACAGGATGGAATAACACACAACTGTCAAAAGATAGTTCTGAAGAATTTTAATTAGAAGGAAAGAATGCTCATGCTAAGTGTAAAAGCAGGACATACAACATTGTATGTGTGGGTAATGATTCAAAATTCTGTGGAAAAATGTTATAAATATAGTACAGATATGTCCATATATGCATAGGAAAAAATGGAAAGAAGTATACAAACATATGATAATGATTTTCTCTTGGAGGTGAGATTTGGGGTGATTTTTATTTTCTTATGTTTTTCCATATTTTTCAAAATGTTCTAAAACGTATTCAGTTTATAATACAACACTGTTTTGTGTGTTTTTTCAAAGTAATAATAATGATGGCTAGTAGTTATTGAGAGTTTACTATATACAAGGAACTACCTAAGCTATTCACTTTTATTAACCCATTGAATCCTCAAAACCATGCTGTGAAACAGGGGCCCTCATTAGCCACATTTGCAACTGGGCATAATTAACTTGCCCAAGAGGCACCGAGAGAAAGTAACTTGTCCAAGGTTACACAGTTATGTGATAGCAGAGTTTGGATTCAAGTGCTGGCAGTCAGGCCCAGAGTTTATGCTTTGGACCATTACAATCTAGAGCAGGGGTCTACAAATCATCAACAATGGGCCAAATCTGGCCCACTCCCTGTTTTTGTTTTGTTTTTTTGTTTTGTTTTGTTTTGTTTTGCGGTACACGGGCCTCTCACTGTTGTGGCCTCTCCCGTTGCGGAGCACAGGCTCCAGACACGCAGGCCCAGAGGCCACGGCTCACGGACCCAGCCGCTCCGCGGCATGTGGGATCTTCCCAGACCAGGGCACGAACCCGCGTCCCCTGCATCGGCAGGCGGACTCTCAACCACTGCGCCACCAGGGAAGCCCCACTCCCTGGTTTTACAAATAAAGTTTTATTGGTGCATAGCCACACGCATTCATTTATGTATTATTGCCTCTTGCTTCTTTTGTGCTGCAATGATGGAGTTGAGGAATTGCAGCAGAGACTATGTGGCCCACAAAAATCCAAAACATTTACAGCTGACCCTTTAACTAATACCTCTCAAAAAATTACTGTTGATATAAATAGGGTTTTAAAAATTTTGTTTAGTTTACATGCTCAAGAGAACTCCTAGCTTTGCACATTAGCCCTGCAGAGGAACTAGAAAAAAACAAAATGGGGAAAAAATGCTTTTTAAGGAGCAGGTGAAGATGAGAGGAATCCCAAGAGAGAAATTTAGGTGAGCAAGGGGGGAAATGGCTGCATTCACATTAATATAATTCCCATTTCCTTCACTAGACATTTATGTACAACGGTAAGGAGCTTTAAGCACCCACATACAGTGTGAGTCGGTCACTCACCAATGGTCAGCATCATCTGAGGTGCCCTGCAAGGGCCACTGATATTAGCCACATACAGTCTGTACTCACTTGGAAGAGCTGGATGTTGGCCGGAGGGTCTTTGTGAAAGAGTAAGGTGGCGCTGGAATAGGTGGGGTCCAGTTTACCACACTTCTGTGGAGACAAGATAACAGAGGTGATCATGACTATTTCTATCATTGGTCCCATCCTTGGTTGTTCCCAAGTGGTAAAAGTAACAACTTTCTCATCTCCTCATTTACACTCCTGGTACTGGCTGGATCTATCTCAACATCCGAACGTGGGCTCTGACAGCTTCTCTTTCCCCACCCCTGCACCCTACTTCCTCTGACACACCAAACCAAAGTTTCCCTCCTTCCTGTATTTATGTATGTTGCTTTCTCTGTTGGGAATATCCCTCTCCCTCAGTCTTCCTGGAAAAGTCATCCTTTTTCTCCTCAATTCTGTGGGAAATATTTAGTGGTAGGGGAAATTCTCATAGTATCATCTCAACAAAATTAAGGGGAACGTGAAGCTCTCTATGCAGTATGACATCAAATCTATTCAGAAAATGATATATCCAGATCAAAAGATAGGAAGATGATAGATATATAGATAGACAGATGGAAGGACAGATAGAAAGAGAGAGAGACATTGAGCAGACAAATAGGATGACAGACAGATGGACAGATAAACATAGGAAAAAAGATGAGAGAAATAAGGAAAAATATTAGCAGTGGCTTTATCTAAGATCTGAGAGTAATTTTAATTTTTTCTTTATACATTTCTGTATTTTCTAAAGTTTTCCACAAATTTATTACTTACATAATCAGAAAAAATTAACTATTACAAATGTTTATAAAAAGGGATCTCACTCTGCTGCACCCACAGCTGTGAAGCCTTCTCTCCTTTGTGCCCCACCCCCCACTCCATCTCCTCAGTTGTCACACCAGGCTGACCTTTGTTGATCCCGTTCTCTCCCACACTAGGCTCTCCGCTGCCACCCCTAGTGCACACAGTACAATCTTATGATGTAACAGGTGCAAAATAAATACTTGCTGGCAAACCCATCTCAGGAGTTAAGACTCTACCTCAACTAGCATCCTCTCCTGGATGCGCATCTCCCCTGGCTGTAGTAGCCCCACCTCACGTTCTCATCACATCACATTCCCATTCTAACTACACAACCACAGCTGTACCAGCTACACTGCTGGAAGGATCATCTGGTCTACCCGCCCCCAGATTTTTATAGCTAAGACATAGAAAGAGTGGTGGCCTACTCAAGTTCTCACCTAAGGTAATGACACAGCCAGGACAAGAACCCACATCCCCGACTCCCAGCCCAGTGCTCTGCCTCTCAGCCACCCAGTTGGCTCCCATCTCCGTGTGGCTCCTTAGGCTGTGTCCCTGGTCCCTGCTCCTCTGTCCTTAGACATCCAGAGGAGAGGAACGTTTACCACCTGGTCCACGGCACTCTCCTACCCCGCCAGCTTCCCAGATCCCTAAACACAGGTGCTGCAGGAAGTCTTTGCCTTGCCCAGGCCCCAAACTCACATCTTCTGAGTCCTCTTTGCCCAGCTTCTGCAACACTGTCAGGTAGAACTTGAAGAAAAAGCTGAGGGTGAGGGTGCGCCGGAACTCAATCATGCCACCTGGGGCGTCTGGGGACAAGGGCAACTCCTCCACCAGGCCTGCACACACGTCCTGCAGCAGCTTCTCATTCCAGAACCTGCCAGAGAGCAGGCTGTGTGAGAGCACTCCCAGCCAGCTCTCAGAATCCATTGTGTGAGTGGTTTCACAGGGCCTTAGAGTCATGAACCTCAGCTCAAAATGTGGCTCAGATACTTACAGTTATGTGACTTTAGGCAAGTTACTGAACCTCCTTGAGCCTCAGTTTTCTCTTTTTTAAAGATAGATACAATTTTTTAAAGACCACAAAAATTATAATAGGTAAATAATAGGTAAATCTATTGAGTTCCTATAATGTACTAGGTAATGTCCCAAGTGATTTATATGAAATGTCGTTTTCAATTTAAATTAAAAGGTATAGTCGGGAAAATTTTCATACCCATTTTACCAACGAGAAAACTGAGACATGGAAAAATTAAGTAACTTGACTGATATTACCCATCTGTTAAGTATTGGAGCCAGGAATTGGAACCAAGGAACCAAACTCCAAAGTTAAGCTTTATCTATCCATATGGTTATTGTGAGGATTACATAGGACAGTGCCAGCAAAGTGCTTGGTACAACTGCTGCCATATAGTAGCCATAGTAATAGCAGTTGCTATAATAATAGTGTAGCAGCAGTAACAGTAATAGTAGCAATAGCAATAGTAGCAGCAGCAATACCAGTAGTAGTAATACTAACAGTAATACTAACAGTGACAGAAGCAGTAATAGTAGTAGTGAAAGCAATAGTAATAGTAGTAGAAGCAGAAGTAATAACAGAAATAGGAGAAGCACCAGTAGTAATAGCAAGAGCACCAGTGATACTACTGGTAGTAGAAGCAGCAGCAGCAGCAGTAGTGATACTATTAGTAGTAATAGTGGCAGCAGCAGTGCTAGTTGCAATAGTAATAGTTGTAGTAGCAGTAACAGTAGTAGTAACAGCAATAATAATAGCATTAATAGTAGCATCTTTAAAGGTAGCAGCAGCAGTAACCCCAGTAGTAGTAATACTAGGAGTAACAGCAATAATAGTATATCAGTAGTAGAAGAGACAGCGGTGGTAGTAGCAGCTATAATAGTGGCGGTAGCCACAATAGTAATATTAGTCATAGTAGTGATAGCAATAGGAATAACAGTAATGGTAGTAGGAGAACAGCAGTAATAATAGTAGCAGAAATAATATGAGTAGCACAGCTGTAGCAATTGGAGTAGTAGAAGCAGCAGCAGTAGTAGCAATAGTAACGGTAGTTGTAGCTGCAGCAATAGGTAGTAATAGTATTAGTAATAGCCGCAGTAGTAGCAACGCGAATAGTAGTACAGCAGCAGCAACACAATTAATAGTAATACCACCAGTGGCAGCAGAAATCACAGTAGTAGTCGTAGAAGCAGCTACAGTAGTAACAGTAGTAGCAGCAATGGTAATACTGCTGGTAGCCATAGTAGTAGCAGCAGCAGTGATAATATCAGTAGCACGAGGAGCAGTTTTATTTTGCCGTTAGCTCTTACTTCAATAGCTGTTTCTGCGTGGTCTTGAGGGCTGAGATCGTTCTGTCTGCCATTCCACCATAGCAAAGGGCCAGCTCCTTTACCTGCGCGGCTCCTGGCTGGAACAGGACTCTCATGCCACAGGTCACCTTGGCTATGTCATCTTCTCTGCGGGAGGCCTGCTTGAATGCTGAGAAAAACTCACCCTGAAAATCACAGAAGAAGACCTGTTTCCTCCCTTGTTTTGCAAGGACTGCAAAGTGAGCCTGAAGCAGGGACACAGGTGGGGTGAGGTGGTGAGACCATCACAGAGCAGCCAACAGCTGGTGGTAGAGGTCAACGATCGGGACATGACTGCCACCTTTCAGGAGAAGTTCCAGATAATGTTCCTGGAAGCTGGGAAAGGGCCAGGATTTCTGCCTATCAGTCTGGAAAATGGGAAATCAGGGACACAGGAGAACTGGGTGCTCTCAACCAAAGAGCAGGAGGGGACAAGGTGCTTTCACGAAGGCTCCTGAGAGACTGCCGCAGCCCCACCACGGCTTCCCCATCCTGGTGCCTGGTATCATGTCCACCCGGCCTCCCCAGAGCTGTTCTGAAGGCTCCACTGGCCTGACCACCTCTCAAGCAGGTACAGTGCGATGCCAAAGGGTGTTTGAGACCCAGCATCAGATGGAGGTGTTTGTGGCTTCTGCAGATGCTCTCCCTGCCTTGTGTCTCCTACCAGTCTACTGGCTATGGTTAGAAATCTTGCTTCCTGAAAGAAAGACTCACTATGAAACAGTAGCTGCCTTTGTGCTTTGAACATACATTTCCCCCGGATCCAACCAATCTCTGTCATTGGAGATAGGAGGAGAGCGTGAGTTACTTTCCAGGTAAGAACCAGCTGTTTCAGGTTCTGCTCAAGGTGTGAACTCACCCTGGCACCACAAGTTCTGATGAATGTCAAAGGTGGGAGGTTTAAGGAAAGGTTTACTGGAGAAGCGAGGAGGCCCACTGTTGAGGTTCAAAATGGCCCCAGGCTTTTGTTGAAGAAGCCACGGAGACCCCTCCTAATGAGAAAGCTTGTCTAGATTTCTGATGTCTGATATGGCCCTGGGGCAATCAGCCCAGAGCTTGAACTCGGTTCTGGAACAGAGGTTCCAGCCGCTCACTCCCAGGACTGTGCTCGTCCACGGCAACATTTTTCCCGGGGTTCATGCAGCGTCAGCATCAGGTCATCAGCTGTTCTTTCTTGAGAAAGACCTAATTCTGGGTATTAAAACCTCTTTTCATTTATAAAATGTTTTTTGTTAATGCCCCTACCTGGCAAAATAAAAACTGGGCAGTGCTATGCCTGTTTCCTCTTCCTTTCCCCACCTCATAATTAAAAAAAAATAAAAATCTACTGATCTGTGAAATACAAAAACTCTGGGAATCCCTGTTCAAAACGGTCTATAAGGACAGGCTGGAAAATCATTAAGAAACCACTACAGGGATATAACTGCTTTAATTTAATTAGTATTCTCATGAAGGAGGTCAAAATCAGCAAGGGCAAAACACGCCTTGTAACACTCGCTAAAGCACAAGCTCTGGTAAACCCTTAATACTCTCCTTTACAGCTGGTTCCTGGCTCTCACAGATCACTTTTCTAAAAGGCCCACTGTGGAATGTGTAGGACAAAACCACACCAGCTCAAGACACCACAGGCCCCAAGGAACAAGAGCAAGGCGGCCAGAGGAGCCCAGACCTGCCCCAACAAGCCAGAAAACCCTCTCGTGAAGCAGAAATCCATCCAAGACAACACAGGGCAAGGTCAGGGAAAAAGCACCTTGTCAAGCCCAAGGTCAGCATGTGAGGACCTGACTCACAGGTAGCTTCTCTACCCAGCATGCAAACTCCACACTTCATCATACGAAAACTGGGGCAGGGATACTCCACAACTAGTTGTGTTCTTGGAACTATGTCACTAGCACTAGCTGGTGATCTCCACCAGCTCCTGGATATCTTCCAGGAACCTTATGAATTCTTTCTTTTCAGTCTTCGCAATAACCTGCACAGTCAGTAACATGGGCCCATTTTACAGATGAGGAAATTGGGGCTCAGAAAGATGAATGACTCACTCAGGATCACACATCTACCTCTCTGGTTTCATTGATTATGCCCTGTGCCCCCATATTACTCAGAGAGTAATATGGTTGGTTAAAGGCAATGTTCAGAGACAAGAACATCAATGTTAAAGTGAAGAGATGCTAAGTTTGGCTCCCGAGGCAGGCTCTGGTCTCCCTGTCTGGAGCCTGGCAGGAGTAGGGGTGATTCAGGATGTTTCTGACAGCATCTCACCTCCCTGCTGTAGGGGATCTCAATGGAGAGCAGTATCTCCTCTGGACCTAGCAGGGTCTTTCTGTAGCCAGGGAAGAAGGTGTGATCCATCCGAACCGTTCTTCTGGTGCCTGTACAGAGGCAAGACAGAGAGGGACCAATGTGAGGAAAGCATAAGACAGACCACCAGTGGAATTCTCCATCCTGGTCTCTGATGCCCACAGTCAGAGGCAGTGGCTGGCACAACGGGGGCCAAGGTGCTCCATTTGAAATCCTTAAGCACTGGTGTGCTGGTGACTGTTTAACAATCAGTTCTTTGAGAAAAAACCCTGATTCAAAGCATTTGCTAGTTTATGTGGTATAGATACTCCTACCACAGCCAACGTAAAGCTAAAAGAGCAACATCGCTCAGTGTGATGTTGGAAGGAGGGTAGCAAAGAGTTGACACAGCAGACCTGCCCTCCTCTGAAAGTCCTGCTTACAAGGTTGGCCACTAGCTATCCTCTGGGACCTTGGATTTCAGGAGAGTTCCCACCATTCCCTGATAAGAACGGCTCACTGGGCCTGAAATGTTTGTACACATCATATGGTTTATGCTGAACACCTGACTTTCCTCCTGGGAGTCTGGACTTCTGGTACGTGCCAGGCAGAGTTCCATGACCAGCCCCCAGTAAAAGCCCTGGGTGCTGAGTCTCTAACGAGTGTCCCTGGTAGACTACCCTTCACATGTGTTGTCACAGCTCAACTTACTACTGGGGAGATTGAGCATGTCCTGTGTGACTCCCCTGGGCGGAGGCCCTGGAAGCTTGTGCCTGGTTTCCTCTGCCCCATGCATCTTTTCCCTTTGCTGATTTTGCTTTCTATCCTCTATCCTCTATCCAAGTCATAGCCACGAGTAAGACTCTACGCTGAGTCCTGTGAGGCTTCCTTGACCTCCTAAGAGTCATCAAACCCAGAGGTGGTCTTGGGGACCCTCCAACGAGGAAAGATGGACAGGAATACACCCATATGCAGCATTTCCCTCTACAAATATAATAAATGGAAATAACCTCAAGGGCAGAGACAACTGTAAAATGAAATAAAATAATTGGGAAATGGTGAATGTTGAGTACTTATTACCTTTGTTTTGTTTTTTTACATCATTATTGGAGTATAACTGCTTGACAATGGCGTGTTAGTTTCTGCTTTATAACAAAGTGAATCATCTATACATATACATATATCCCCATATCTCCTCCCTCTTGCATCTCCCTCCCACCCTCCCTATCCCACCCCTCTAGGTGGTCACAAAGCACCGAGCTGATCTCCCTGTGCTATGCGGCTGCTTCCCACTAGCTACCTATTTTACATTTGGTAGTGTATATAAGTCCATTACCTTTGTTTTTAAATATACTTTATTTCATTGTAAGGTTATATAGTTTAAGTTTTAATAGCTGCCATGTTTAACAAACGTTCAGGTTCTCTGAAAACCCAGCAATCAGCTGTGGTGAGCAGTGTACTCTGGCCCCAGCACACACCACTAAGTAAGGCATCTGGCTGACAGGTCCTGTTGTGAATTCTTAATAAAGTGATGGTCCAGCTCTCCTGGTCCCCAACCTGGGTACATCTCCCTTTGCAGCTGCCAGAGATCCAAACTTTAGGACAGCTGCATCATTGAACTTTGGGCTCTGCTTCTCCAGAAAGTGACCTACCTTGTGAGACTCCACCCCATCCCCAGCCCTCTTTCCTGACCACTGTATGAGGCAGCTCACCTCTGGACACGATGGTCAGCTTGGTCCCACTGGCCATGAACACAGGGTTGAGGTCGGAGATGGGGCTGGCTGTGATGATGTTCCCTCCAATGCACTAGGACAAGCAGAGAGCGCGTGTGAGAGAGCCCACCCCAGGAAAGCCCTGCTCACACAGCCGGCTCCCGAACACACAGAAGGTGGGGGACACCTGCTGAAGGGAGAGCCCTGAGGTTCTCCACCCCTGTGGAGACACAGGATCAGCACAGTAAGAACTTGGGCATTCGGGCAACATGCAAGAGATTCCAGTGCCTGGGGTTGGCTCTCAGCTCTGAAATTTACCTGTTGGTAAACCGGGATCAGCCCCTTTAAATTGTTTGTTTGATCGATTTCACCCAAACTCTTTCTGAAAGGGTTGATGTGGTTTATCACAGAGGCCATAGCGATTTAGTAAAAGAGAAATAAAAGGTAAAGATCAAGGAAAATGAGGAGGAAGCCTTAAGGATGAACAGTGTGTTCTAACTGAGCTTCCTTGGCAAAGAATGTAAGGAGAATCAGACACAAGGTTCCTATTATTAGAAAAGAGGAAGAGAACCAGTTGTTCCAGGGAAAAAAAAAAAAATCCTTCCCAGAAGTAGATTGCATCTGAGCTTGGGAACTCAGCAGAGTTTTCTGGGTTTATGTCTCCTTATCTGTAATCAAAGGAGACAGGTGCCTGGCGTAGGGTGATGAGAATGGGAGTAGGTTGTTTTGCTTTGTTTTTTGTTCTAATTTAAAACAACAACAGCAGTGGAATGGGAGGGCCAGCTTTTCTCCCAATTCCATCAACAACTGTGAGACTGAAATGGCGCCAGGTGTGAGAACGCCGTCTGCAAACCCAGAATCTGGGGGCTAGTCTGAAGACTTATTACAAACAGTCAAGAGGTGGGCCTCTCCCTCCTCTCAGGGGGTCTACCTCTGGTTCTCTCCCCAGCTCTGATAGGCAGTCCCCCTTCCTATTTCGGCTTCTCCCTAACTTATCTCTCATTCACCTGCTGGCAGCCTTGGCCAAGTCCAGGAAGAGGGGGGCAGGTGGCTCCAACCTCAGGGGTAAAGACTGAGTCACAGCGTGGGTGCTTCCAAGGGTGGCCCGCAGGCCACCTTCATCAGAAACACCTGTGGGGCTTGTTAAAACCTGACCCGTGGGCTCCACTCCAGACCTGCCGTCAGACGCTCTGAGGGTGGGGCCCAGGAATCTGCATTTTCAACAAACACCCCAGGCAATTCTAAGCACTTAAGTTTGACACCCATTGGGTCTGCAGCAGAGTCCAGACTAGCGCCCCTCGCCTTGCGATGAAAACGTGCATCCTGGGCCCCTAAATAGGGACTCACCGCCACAGACTTGACCTGCTTCCCGGCAAACCAGCACAGCTGCTGCAGGACGCCTCTGAGCACCTCTGTTTTCTGGGTGGGAAGCTTAGCAACCGCATCGAGCAGGGTCTTTTCCACAGAGTTCAGGGGGCAAGCGGCTCCGAAGGAGATACCTGGGAACACACGCTCGGAATGACAGCGATCCCCGTCACAGCTCGGAAAGCACTTCCGTACACAGCAGCCCCACTAAGGCTAAACCAGGACGCACATCCTTATGTGGATGAGGAAATTAAGGCCCAGAGAGGTCAAGTGACCTACCCAATGCCACACAGCTAATAAAAGAGCCAGGACTCAACCCCAGGCCTGCTGACCCTACAACCAGAGTGCTCGTTTCTCTAAACCAGTGGTTCTCAACTCAATAAAATCAGATCTCTGAGGGTGAAGTCTTGGCATTTTTTTTAAAAAGCACCCCAAAACTCCCCCCACCTACCCCCTATTTCCATGAGCGATTCTAACATGCAGCCAGGATAGAGAACAACTACAGAGAATCCCAACCCCCTTGCCCGCTGGCCCCTACCATGGATGCCCCGAGGAGGAAGGCACTGAGGGTGCCCGCCTTCCCCATGCAGGGCGGCTCCCAAAAATGCAGGCGGCAGCGGGAGCCAAAGAGGAGTCTTTCCTGGCACTCGCCATCCCCCCGCATGACCCACCTCCAGCGTCCCAGCCCCTCTGTGGGCTCAGGCAAACTTCCCCTTACCCTCCAGTCCATGCTCCACTGAATTCAGCTCAGGGATCCAGGTTGGGCAGATGATCACAGGAAACAGCTGATTCTTAAACTTCATCTCAATGCCTGAAGAGAAACAAGAAGCCTCAAGTTATAGGTCTGTTGTTTGTCACCATGGCATTTTCCCCCACCACCGCACACAGGACGGAGGACATATTCACGATCATAACATGCTCCGTGGGTGACTTGGGGGTGATTAGGGGTGCAGTGGACAAGATGTGAGAGTAAGTGCAGTTTCCGCACAATCAGCCTGAAAGCTATGTCTTTCCCTCTCAAAAAAACCCATCGGAATTCAAATAAGATGAACTCGAATTCGTGTGTGTGGTGTGTGTGTGTGCGTGTGCGTGTGCGCATATGTGCGTGCGTGTTTAATCACAATACTAGAAAAAGGGCATGAAAATAAGTCAGGAACGCTTGTAAGCACTTTACATATTTTAACTCAATCCTCACAATAACACTATGAAATACTGTGACTTTCTCTATTTATAGATGAAGAAACTGAGGCACAGGGAGGTTAAGTTTCTTGCCCAAATTACACAGCTAAGAATGGGCATATTTCAGCACCGGAGCAATTATTAGAATTGGGATGTAATAGTAATATGATATGAAAGTCTAACATTCAGACAAAACAGGAAAATTGACTGAGGGAGAAAACTTCAAATTGGCCTCCCGGTCCCCAATATCTGTCTGAGTTCTTAAGGTGCATGGCTTGGTGGGACCGAATGTCTGTGTCTGGTTTCTGTCCTTCCGGTGAATCAAGTAAGAAACCTCTGCGAACAGACCTGCTTCTGTTCCTCAGACCCAGTTAGCACAGCACCTCTCCCAGCCCCGCCCACAGGGCTGTAGATGGAAAAGGGTAAGAAGGAAATGTCTGTGCATCACCGCCCCCCCCCGCCCCTTTCCGGTGCTGTTGAGGGTCTCTGAAGGGAGGCGCAGGCTTTGAGGAGTCTGGCCTGTTTGAACATCAGCTCGTAGGTCAAAGAATGCAGATGGAGGCACTAAGTGGCTCATTTTGATAAGGGGTTCTCTATGACCCACTTCCCCCGACGTCATGGCGGTAGGTGGTTACACTGTGCGGAGTGTGTGTGAGGGAGGGAGGTAGAGCTGTGGTTCTCCATGACCCACCTCCCCCGACGTCATGGCGGTAGGTGGTTACACTGTGCGGAGTGCGTGTGAGGGAGGAGGTAGAGCTGTGGCGTGGTCTTAAGCAATTATTTCTAACTTGGAGCTTATAATATCTTTGTGAATGCCTTTCTCTTAGAATCTAACTGAGCCCAGGACATTGTGTGACTCGTGGCGAGGAACATGTCATATACCCAAGGACCCCAAATATTCTTCCAGCCTGTCATTCTCCACCTTAACTCGTGGGACCCTGGGCCCTTGGGTCATGGCTACACAGGCGAGCCATTGTGGTCATATCACCTGAGGCACGTCTCACAGGCCACCCTGCCATCCTGATGTGTCACATTACTGCAGCAGGGGACTCTGCACAGCACCTGTGCTCACAAGGGTGGCCCAGCTCAGCACTTCACCAGCACAGACCTGAGCCAGGCCCTCCTCTCTGTGGCTGAAGAACCAACCAGAACCCAGGGCTCGGGGGGGTCCCTCCAGAGCCAGAGCCAGGAGTCCCCCACAAGCTGGACTTGGCTGCTTAAAAGCATGTCAAGTTCCCCCAAACCAGGGTTCCTCTGAGGCAGACCTCGGCTGTGCTACCATCCTCTCCTTGGATCCCCACTGGGCTTGGGTCCAGCCAAGTGGAAACGGGCCAGGCCAGGTTTATAAATGGATGGAGACGAGCAGGGACCTGGGCACCTCTGCTCCTGTGTCTTCAAGGGCCAAGCCCGAGAGCTGCACATCTCGTGTCTCCTTGACCTGTTCACGTACTGCGGGCCTCAGGTCCCAGGTGGTGGTACCACACGGCAGGTGGCCACACTCATGGGCAACACAGCACAGTCACACTTGGACATCTCCTCTCCCTAGCCTTACCACATCACCCCCAGAAAAGGGAGGGCAAGAGAGTGACCTTTATGGAACCCCTAGTGTCCATCAGGCACCGGCCCAGACACGTAAGCTACGTTGCTCCCTCCGCCTTTAGACTGGGAGACACTGAAGGGAAGGGGTCTGGTCCAGGTGATCTGGGTACCCCTGGCTCTCCCAGAGTACCCAGCGCAGAGCAGGCTCCCTGTCAGTGCTTACGGAGAACAGTCAGCAAGGAGTTCAGTTAGTACTCAGGACAACCCTTAGAGGAGGTGTTACTACTCCACATATGAAATGGGGAAGTGAGGGCAAAAGAGGACACACAGAGGACACACAGCCACAGGGGCTGAACTGGGCAGACTGGCCCAGGGCCACCCCGCGCCCTTACCAATCTCCGTGTTCCCCACCACCAGCTTGGCCTCAGGGTACTGCGCTTTGAGGTCCAGCAGCTCGTTCAGGGCCGAGGCCTGGATCCAGGTCACACGCTCCCCTTCAAAACGCAGCTGCTTCAGCGGAATGTCTTTCAGCCTCTGGAAAATGAAGTTTTCTTACTGTGCTGCCTCTTCCTCCCCACTGCCATTCCCAGGGCCATTGCTTTAAGTTTGCAAGGGGATCAACTCTACTATGGATTTGTTTAATACTGAATTCAGATGGAAAATGCACGTCAGGGGAGAAGGGAGGGAGGACACCACGTATCGAGGCAGGAATTACGTTGCAGCTCTTTTATAGACATTATGTCACTTAGTCTTCAGAAGATCTCAGTGAAGGAGGCACTGTTAGTCTCATCTTTTACAGGTGAAGGAGGACGCTGAGGATCAAGGTTATGTGACCTGCTGAAGGTCACTGTCTCCAGGAGGTACGGGAGGCGGATCAGAAGGGAAGGCAATGGAAGGTTGGCTCTAGAGCATGAGGGGTGATGCGGGGCTGAGAGAGAAAACCCCCAAATCAAACTGATGGTTTTTCAAGGTTTCACAGAGAAAGATATGCTGGCGGTCTGCTGCAAAGCCGTTCTTTCTGGCCTGTTGAATTCCTAAAGCAGCCTTCATGAGCTCGCCACGCCCTGAGAAATCCGCACTTGAGAAGCCTTGAGAGTGGCTTGATTATTATTATTATTTTGGTCATGATGTTGGAGTGAAGGAGCAGAATCATCAAGGTGAGAAAGTAGGCGTGAGAGGTGTCCTTAAGACATGGCTGCAGGCCATGGACTGTGTCCTTTGAACACAGCTCTCTTTGTTTGTTTCGTATATGAATGGACTGCTAACAGAAAGAAGAATGGCTTGCTTGAGGGCTTATACATGAGATTTAGCCAGGAGGTCACCAAATACTTCTGGAGCTCCTGTTACTGTACACAGTGTGCCAAAGGGATCCACTCCCTCAGAGTGACACGTGTGAGAAGGAGAGAAGTGTGGGTCCCTGTGGGAGTATGTGGCACAGGGACTTGACGTTTGGGTGTCAGAGAAAGGAAGGGAAATTCAGGCTGAAACCTACAGGACAAGGAGGACACAAAGGCCCCAGTGGGTACGAGTGGGACCCAACAGGTCTCCAGGGGCTCATGGGGCATCACCTACCAGCAACTCTGGGGGGAAGATGGGTTCCTGGGTGGGATCCAGGGGCATGAATTCCTCTGGGTTGAATAAAGATGGCGAGAGAGTGACCTGCTGGAAAAGGGGACAGATGAGTGATACACTGTCCCCTCCTTTAAAATGCCCCACAGGGCTGGCCTAGCCCTCTGTCCAAGCGAGCTCATCCACAGACCCCAGCAGGCTGGTGGAGGAGCTGGTATCTCCTGGGAAGAAGGGACAAGGAGGTCTTGACAGAGGTTCCAGGGCTAATGTACACATTCACCACCCTCGTGGCTGGGGCGTAACGGTTTCCTCTTCCAGCCACCACTGCCCAGAGTGTGGAGAGAGCCCACTGGCTCCTTTGATCTGAGGCTGGCCCTCAGGCTTCCAGGCTGAAAAGGATCCACTTACCTCGTGGTCTTTCTTCTGGTTCATGCAGCAGTTTGGGTTGTTCCCATTTCCTCCACAGCATCCACCATCCTAGAGAGATGACCAACATTCACACAAAAATATTTGCGAAGAGTTTTCACAGAAGCTAAAGAACCTAGATGATTACTATCAAATGAAATCTGGGGGCTTCCCTGGTGGCGCAGTGGTTGAGAGTCCGCCTGTTGATGCGGGGGACACGGGTTCGGGCCTTGGTCCGGGAAGATCCCACATGCCGCGGAGTGGCTGGGCCCATGAGCCATGGCTGCTGAGCCTGTGCGTCCGGAGCCTGTGCTCCACAACGGGAGAGGCCACAACAGTGAGAGGCCCATGTACGCAAAAAAAAAAAAAAAAAAATGAAATCTGGGTATGATACCTATTCCAGCATCAAAAGGAGCAGCAGATACCCCACCCCATCCCACTTGCCTCTGCGGAGGAAAGGCCTCTGCTTTAACTACTTTCACTTCGTTAACGTAGATTAAATAACTTGAGAATAAACAAACAGGACCTCTCCTGGAAGCAGCAGGGATATTTAATTATGAGAAAATTTCTCCATAAAAGCTAGTCCTATTTTATCAAATCATCTCTTTGTGCCCACATTCCTCTTCAGTGCTGCTTCCTGAGGAGGCCTTCGTTCCCCGACCAGGGATCGAAACTGTGTCCCCTGCAGGGGAAGCACAGAGTCTTAACCACTGGACCACTAGGGAAGCCCCTCATGCCTCTACTTCTAAACCATCAAGTTCTATGGGAATGGGCTGGGCGCCTCCCAGGCTGGAGTCTTTGGGGGGCTGCTGCCAAAGACGTTCAGGACCAGCGGTGTGCCCGGCCAGTGTGCCTGATGGCCTTCCCACGCCTTCTCAAGCACTTCTCGCCAGAAAGCTCACTCTTTATTCCTCACTGCAGGCCTGTTCTGGAGGATATGTACAGGTCTGATGACTCATCACCTATGGGGAAAGGACTTGCTCAGGACCTCTTGGGGTGCCAATGGCGGAGCACAGAATAGAGCCCAGATTGCTACCTCCCAAAACCAATGCACTGAAGGTGGGAAAGGGTGTGTTCACCTGACTCATCTAGCCCAAGGAGGCAGGAGTCTCAGCTCAGAGCCCCAGAAGACACTACAGAATCATGGAGTTGTGCTGAGAGGCAGAAGTGGGGGAACTCCCAGGCATAGACCTAGACACATTTCCAGGGCAGCCATTCCTGGGGGAGCAGGCTGGGAGTAGCCCTTCCTTACGTGAATCATGGAAGACACCATTCACGCCGACATTTCCCAAAGGGTGAGTCACCACCCACCAGCGTCCCCGAGGAAGTTCTCAGAGGGCCAAGGAGGCCGAAGGTGTAGCCTCTGAGAACGTGCGAGCACTGTCAGACTTGCCTCCACCCCCCTGCACGTGCTGCCCTGCGTGCAGACCCCTCTTGCATTCACTGGTTTGCCACTGGATCTCAGAGCGGCTCGGTGTATTTTATACCGCCACACCACCACCTTGCCCTTCCCCTCTGAATCTGGACAGAACGGAGAGGGCCTCTTCGCATCTCTCTTTTTGGAGGAGTGATGTGGAAAATTACCAGGCCCTGCGTACAGGAATACAACAGCCTCCCTCACCTGGTCCTTGTGGGGAAGGATATATTTCGCAAAAGTGGATTATTCAGATAATGAAAGTGTCAACACTTTCTTACTTAGATCTTTTTCCTTGATAATTCATTGATGTGTTTATGATATAAATTACTGTAACGTACAATAATGTGTCACTGCCCTCAAGGCCTACTGCGGTTAGATAAGGCTAGGGTTTTTCCCCAGAGAGATTTCCACTTTTCTCAGTAGGCTAAAACTGCTGGGTTTATTTTTACGGTTCCCCCATTTCCTTCCTTGCTGCTAGGTGAATGTTGTCATTTCCTGCTGTGAACAGGCTGCCTCGCTATAGCATGCTCTTCTCACCCTCTTCCAGTGTGTGCTATGGCCATGAAAACTAGATAGATGAGCTTTTTAGAACTGTGTGTAAGGTAACAATTAAAAGGCTCTGAATAAAGGCCTTGGGGGCCTCCAAGGAGTAACATGCATGAGCTTCTGAGCACCTTCTGCGAGCCAGTCATTTTGCCTGCTTGGAGGACCCAGCTCTACTCTGCTCTACACTGCCAGGCAGCTGGAGTGAAGGGGGTGCAGCTCACCTCCTCCCATGGTGTCACAATAGACTCAGGAACTGTGTAAATGATGATAAAACTCTGACCCACAGAAGGAGTATAATTGTCAGCTACACTCAAAAGCCCTTCTCTCTGGAGAAACTAGGAGAGCTGGTCAGATTGTATTTCTTTGAGAAGCCTCCTATGAAATAAGTACATGCACAAGATTAACAATCCCTGGTTCTCAGGGAAGCCTAAGCAATACATGAAGATCAAATATGGGTAATGGAAAAAATGTACCAGCATCATAATTTATGTTGCCATTTACTGAAAATGTCAGGTGTGCCAGGCATTGTCCTAAGAGCTTTACAAGAAGTCCTTTCCACAAGCACTGTAAGGTAGGTATTATTACAATCCCCATTTTAGAAACAAGGAAATTTGCCCAATATCATGCATCAGTTAAGTGATGGAATGGGATTTGAACCCAGGTCTGCAGATTCTGAATCTAAGCTTTCAATCATTTTCATTTAAATCCGTACCTCCTGGTTCCTCATCATCAACAGCATTCACCAGGATGTGGCATTTTCCATCCTTAGAGGCTCCATCTCCATCTCCACCCTTTTGGACTATTTGGACACAATACTCCTTTTTGTACTGTACCAACTCTAACAGTCAGTGAAAGGCACAGGAGTCTGTGACTCTCCCCTTAACCCAGAATCAAATTGAGACGAGACAGTTTGATTGGAGTCAGAATCAACTTGACCCAGCTGGGAAATCAGGTAAAATCTGGGGAGATTAAGCCAAGAAAGGAGAAGCCAGCCCCCCGTCCTCCTTGCCAGATGACAGGTGTGTGTCTGCATTTATGTAACCGATGCCCATGCACCCCAGCTGTGGTTTCTCACGCAGAGGAATATGAACACTACAGGGGTTCACACACCGTCTGAAGATCTAATTAGCAGTTTCATAAGCCCAGCAGAGTGCCAGCTGCAGAAAGCAGCGGGGACAGGAAAGGAGGAGGGACTCGAGTGCTGAGTCAGGCTGGGTTGTTATTAAATGCCACGTTCAGCACCTGTGCCAGGGGCTGAGCATGCCGGTCACCAAGGAAGGATGCCAAGCCCGAAGGCCCTGGAGGAAATTAGCTCTTAGGCAGCATGCCCCTTCCAGTAACCAGTTCTCCAGGCCTTCCCTGGAAGAAAAGTCTCCGTGCTATTGATGAGAACCACCACCTCCCTCCAACCCCCAGAATAAGAACAGCACAGCCCAACGCCCTTGCCAGGTACCTGCGGCAGAAGGACCCGCCAGCTGGCCACACGATCATTTTTCTCTGTAACCCAGAGGCCCATGGCATCCCTCCCAGCTGTGATTCCTGAGTATTGCTGCTTCAGGAGCAGGGCCACTGCTGTCCCAGGGCCCCAACTTACCTTGGCGAAAGTCCGGAAGCCCTGGAGGATGGGTCTGTAGCCTGTACAACGGCACAGGTTTCCTGTGGGCCAAGGAAAAAGCTGCAGTGTCAGCGCAGGCCCCGGAGCAGCTGAGGGGTTTGTGGCTTTGCTCCCAGCTCAGTTAAATGCTCTCTTTACATATTCTATTTTCTTTGCTTGGAATGACCCTCCTCCTGCTTGTACCCCTGACTTCAAAACATCTACCACTTCTTCCAGGAAGCCTTGCTAGAATGCCTAGACTGAATCAGGTGCTCCTCCTAAGTCCTCCCATGGTGCCTAGTCATAGCTTTATCAGTGAGCTTATCAAACTACATTATAAGCTCTCTTCCCCTTCAGAGTACAACCTCCTTGAGAGGAGGGACTGTGTCTTTCATCCCTGTGTCCCCTGTACCCTGTATTGTGCCTGACATATGATAGGACTTCATATAACTGACTGAATAAATGATGCATTAAAATGGATTGAATGAATCAATTCAGAGGAACAGATACCAGGCCCAACCATCTGGGCCCATTCACAGAAGGCAAAGTGGGAAGCCAGTCCCTGCTCAAGGCTCAGAGTCATGGCGTCCTTCCTCATAGGTGGCCCTTGCCCTGCAGAACCCTGCTGTGAGGAAGCAGCAAGGGAAGACGCCATGTCATTAGCTTCTGTGCGGTTTCCCAGACGATCTCCTCCCACTCCGGCCACTCATGGCTACCCCATCCTAGCACGGGATGAGAGCAGAAGACACCTCAGGAAGATGAACACTAAGGCAGGAGACCCCAGAAGGTCTCCAAACCACCCAAGTGTTCTTCCAATTAAGAAAGCACCACCCTTCCAGTCAATCGTAACCAACATGGTGGGACGGCCTGAGCCTTTCCCTCAAAAGGCGGTGCCTGGAACTCCTACTCCACGCCTGGCATCCACTCTGGCCCTGCCCTGCCCTCCTCAGAGCCCCACTTGCCACTCCACCTCCCAGGCCCTGCCTCAAGGCCCATACCCTGGAAGGCATCCTCGATCTCCTCAACAGTGGGCTCAGGCTGGTTCCGAAGCAGCGTGTACATGCTCATGACGATGCCGGGGGTGCAGAACCCACACTGGGAGCCGTGGCTTTTGGCGATTCTCTCCTAAAAGGGGCAGATGACGTAGACACCTGTGTTGCAGAACCCCTCCCAGGCTCCCTCGCGACTCAGCTGGAGCCAGCCCATGTCGACAGGCAGCGTAGGGTAGCAGGCCGCGTGAAGTCAAATCGTAGTGCTGCCACTTCCCAGCTGTGACCTTGGCCAGTTACCAAGCCTCACTAAGCCTTGTCTATATGTTTAGGACCATCCTAGCACTTAGAGGATTCAGTGAGATCATTCACATAAAACTCTTAACATCATCCATGGCATAGAGGAAGGAGTCAACCCATGGGAGTTATTAATAGGACAGCCCCCTCAAAGAACAACGACTGTTAAAGCCAGAGGGGCTTCTCACCCTTCATTCCCTTCAACAGAGAGAGGAGGAAGCCGGCTCAGAGATTTAAGACATGTATGCAAGATCACACATGGTGAATGCTAGAGCTGTGTCAGGTTCTTCTAACTACACGACCCCACAATCCAAAATCAACCAAATGAATGCATTTTATTCCAAATTAGAATGCTGCTGTATTCTTATGTGAAGGCAATCCTTGAAGTCCAACGGGTGGGGACTTAAGAATTGGGAAATGTGTGATAGAGAATTCACTAAAAGCACTGAATGTCACAGAATTTTCATTCAAACCTGCAAGATTTTTATTACAAGGAGATTCTCCTCATCTACACTATTTTTTAATCTCTGGGAATCTCTCTTGGAACTTACATTAAGTAAAATTGCTAGAATGTTGTATCCCCAGTGCCTAGCATGGCTAGTCATTCATTTGACAGATATTTACTGAGAAACTATTATGTACCAGGAGTGGTAAAGGCACTGGGGACAGAGAGTGAAGAAGAGAGATGAGGTTCCTGGTCTCATGAAGCTCATATCCTAGTAGGGGAAATACTGACAAAAACAAAGAAGAAAATTTGAGGTGGAGGTCAGTGCTCTGTAGAGAATTAGTACAAGAGGACATGACCCAGACTGACTAGTGGCTATTTGGAGTGGTTAGAAAAGCCACTCTGAAAAAGTGACCTTCCAGTTGAACTTAATGACGTAATTTGGAGCAGGGAAGGGTGTATCCCAGGCAGAGGGAACAGCGAGTGCAAAGGCTCTGAGCACAGACAGTGTGAAAGTCTGATGCGCTAGAGCTGCTGAAAGGCCGGGGTGGATGGAATCCTGGGACAAGGGATGTCAGCTGGGGGAACAGGCAGCAGCCAGTCCGTGCAGCTCTTCATAAACCAGGGTTAGGGATCCGGATGGTTATTCTGGGTGTGATGACGAGAGGGCTTTAAGGGGAATTTCAGCAGGGCTTGATATGATCGAATTCGTGTTTTTAAAGAATCACTGTAGCTGCTGGGCAGGGAATAGCTGTAGGGGCAAGAGAAGAAACAGGGGAACAGGACACTAAAGTGGCCTAGGCAAGAGGGGATAGTGACTTGAACCAAACATTAATGGGGGAAACAGAGGAAAAAAATGAAGATTTCATTGTAAAGTTTGGAGGTAGAGTAGTTACTACTTCTGGATGGATTGGGTATGGTGTATCAGAGAAAGAATCATAGGTGACTCCGAGATTTTTATCTTGAGCAATTGGGTGGATGCTTTTGCCACTGACTCAGACGGAGGAAGACCAGGGAAGAAAGAAGTTGGGGGGAAAATAGCGTTTTGTTAAGTTTGAGAGTAGACATCCATCTAGCGATTTAAGTAGGCAGCTGGAAAGAGGAGTCTGGTCTCTGAGGAGAGGTCGAAACTGAAGATACAAAGATGATGCATTCACGTGTAGATGGCATTAAACTCACCTCACGAGAGTGTGAAGGCGGAGAAGAGATGGGGCCCAGGCCAGAGCCCAGGGTGCTGCAGCAATTAGGCACTGAGCCGAGGAAGAGCTGTACATGGTGCAAGCATGGAGGTAGGAGGAAAATGAGGGAAGTGTGGTGTCGTAGAAGCCAAGAGAAAAACATAAATGGACAAGAGGAAGTGGAATCTACAGCTTATTTGGAGCCAAAAGAAGTACATCAGGAATAAGGATCTATTCCATCGGAAAGAGAGGGTTTTCGCCTCATTGTACGGATGCGATCCCTGTGTTTAAACGGTTCATTCTTTCTTTCATCTATGTTTCAAAGAAAAGTACAAGCCCTCATTAATCTTCTCACATCCGCTGCAGGTTGGACAAGTTCAGTAATCTGCCCTTTTCCTGCCTAGGAAGCAAAGACATGGCAGTGAAGCAATACCACCCCACCGCGCTCTGACCCCACATGACTGGCCCAAGATGCTCCCTCCAGGGAGTATAATTAGTTTGCTAATTATACGTAGTTTGCTAATATGTAATTAGTTTGTATAGTATAATTATAATATATAATAGTATAATTAGTTTGCTAATTATATAACCGGCGATCCTGACTCCAGACTCACATAAGGGGCACAAGGGTGGCAGGAGCTGAATGACACAGTCAAGGGAAGATTAAGAAAAGGGCCTGGTTCAGGCACCTTCCATGATGCAATCTCCTAAGGACCTCCTGCCTCAGTTTCCCTAAACGTAAGCACCAGGAACAGTGGCTTTTCCTTCCCACTGTGCTCTGCTCCCACATGGGCTCCATTCCACCTTGTCTACGAGCATCCTTTCTCTCTCCACAAACCCCTCAGACTACTGCTCACTCCTCCCCAAAGTGTTCCCAATTTCGCTTCATCCTCAGGTGCCTGGTACCATCAGGGAGAAAGCACTGGTCAGACACCCACGTGTCTCTGTTCTCTGACTCGGCCCTTGCTAACCTCCACTTTAATGAGCCCATGTCTGTAGGATCCATGGGTGAAAGGTGAGAGGTGCAATGAAATTACCACTGGAGGGAGCAGGGAGTAGGTGGGCTTTTTATCAAGGGGCGCAGAGCATTTGGAATCTTCAGTCTGAGACGGCAAGGGGGCTTCCTAAGCAGGCTCGGGCACAAGGTGAGGAAGTCCCCCTGCCCCTCCTCCTCCAGCTCTGACACAGCTGGACTTACCAGCCGCCAGATCCAGTTGACCTCTTGGTTCCCATGGGGCATGCAATGTCACCATCCACCCAGACACAGGAGGGAGCTCCAGGCTTGGGTGCCTCCACTCCCTGCCTCACAGCCACCCCCTCACCTCCACGAGGATCTGGGGAGGTGGCTGGGCCGGAATGCCACCTTGGCCCGGGAAGTGACACTCGGCCCAACGACCCAGAGCAAGTCTGCAGCCTTGGTCAGAGCCTCTGGTTACCTGCACAGGATGCAGCCTTGTCTTGGTACTTCCGATTCCTTCCACAGTTGTCACGGCAACATGGTGCAAGGAGCAAATGGGGGCCAGGCAGGCATTGGCAGAAAAGTGACTGGAACCCAAATTAAGGTCATTCCATCGACCACTCAGGTCATCAGAGCAGACCTGGGTGCAGGGTCTGGGAGATCTGTGATGCCTGTGTCACTTCTCTTCACTCTATATTATGTTCTTTTCTACAGGTGTCCTCACCTCTCTACCCAAGACTCTGCGCCCGAGCCCCTCCAGCGTCCTGTGGAGTCACACACCGGTGCGCCCTAGGCCTCTGAGCTGGAGCACGGGACCCAGGGTCACTTTCAGCTGCCTCTTAGCCTGACACTGGAGGCTGAGTCAAGAGGAAGCTTCTGGCAGTTTCCAGGCCCAAAGTGTGCTCCTCTCTCTGCAGGGCCCGTCCTTAGCCACTTCAATTTCAGAACCTCCTGTCACTTTTGCTTCTCTGCTTTCACTCACCTCCATTTCTCCCATTCCTCTGTGGGGAGAGGGAGGGGAAATCCCCAGGTGGCATGGGACACCAACCCCTTAGAAATAGCTTCCCCACATCTATCCCTTTATTCATCGCTCATTCACTCATACAGACAACATCAGTTACTGAAGGCCAACCAAGTGCCAGGCACCCTGCCGAGGTCTGAGGAAATAAAGGTGAATAAGATGGAATCTCTGTCTTCTAATAGCTTGCCTTCAACTCAGGAAAACAGAAGCCAGTGTGAAGATGAAATTTAAATATTTTACGGTAAGTGTTTCAGGAGGGCTATGCACAGGGCACCATGGCACCAGCAGAGACAAGGGGCACCTAACCCAGTCTTGGGAGGTCAAGGAAGGCTTCCTAGAGGAGGTGATATTTTGCCCAGTCCTAAAGTGCTAGTAAGAGATAGCCAGGTAGAGAAGTCCTTGAGAAAAGGACATTCAAGATGGGAAACAGCTTCTGCAAAGACCAAGAAATGAATGGGCATGGAGCATTGGTAGTTCACAATTGTTTCTGCATGAACAGAGTGCTGGACCCGTGAAGAGAAAGAAAACTGGAGAGGAAAGATGGGGAAAACTGAAGGACCTCACATGTTGAACAAAAAGATTGGACTTTAATTTGGGGGCAATGGAGGCCTACTGAAGGATTTCATGGGATGTGATATAAGTCTGAATTTTAAAAAGATGATTTTTTTCAGCAGTTCAGAATCTTGTCCATATATATTTATAAGCCAGGAAGATACTTCCTAAGACATCATTCTATAATGTCCCTCTTCATGACCAAGGTCTACTTAGAAACACAGGGGCTTACATGTATACGCGCACACGCACACTCACTCAAAAGCTGACCCCTGCTTCACGGTCCTCAAAGGCCATCAGCCAGCAGGCAAAGGATACATGATCTTGTCCTGGAGACGATCATACTTGGAAAGCATCACCGTGCAGGCCCCACAGCCGCCTTCTCCGCAGCCCAGCTTTGTCCCTCTCAGCCCCACTGGATGGTCAAGGGTTAAAGAATATGAACTCAGAGAAAACAAAGTCTTTGTTGGGCTGCTGGGAAATGCCTGCACTGAGCTTCGAGTGAAGAGCCATTCGTCCACACGCAGGCTCAGGCCCCTCAACCTGGGAGGCAGCAGACCCACACGGCCTCCCACTCAGACGGGATCAGGGAATGAGGCCAATTCCATTGTACAGAAAAGGAAAGGCACCAGCACCCATGTGTCAACCCCTGGGACTGGAGTTCCACTGCTCTCTAATCCTGGAGATTTTCTTGGGATCAAGGTCTTCTAGGTGTGGTCTTAACAGTCCCCCAACCCTGTGGTCTCACTGGGCAGGTAAATCAGGCACCTCAAAGACTGAGTATGTGGGCCAGCCCTCACATCACCCCAGCTGGTCATGCAAGGAAGCCATTCAAGCCAGCATGGGACTTGCTGAGTTCAGCTTCCCTCATCCCCCCGCCAAACCTTCTGGATTGATGAAGTCCAGGGACCAAAATTAAGGCTGGACCAGGGGCTTCTGAATATCCATCCCATAGGATATGTGAATGGAAATTAAAATGAAGATATTTTTGAGGTCAGAAACCAATATTGGAGCCACCTCTTATATATTGGGGGAGACAAAATCTCCGATACGTTGCGCTTGCAAAGTGCCTAACTAATAGGCTATTCTGGAGAACAGCAGTTATGGTGGCCTCTTTCCCGGGGACACAGGCTCCATCGCTGCTTTTCCCTCAGGCCCACAGGCCTCCAGGCCATCTATCTTCCTACTGAAGATGGAAGGACCTGAGGCTATTATCCCTGGTCACTTCCCTAATTTCAAGATAAAATTAATAACTAACAATGATAAAGCATCTTCTACTTGGAAAGCAGCTATACCCATGGACCCGTTTGATCTTCATAATAATGTGGTTAGCAGGTAGGGCAGGAATTGGTGAAAGAAAGAAAGAGAGAAAGAGAGAGAGAGGAGGGAGGGAGGGAGGAAGGAAGACAGAGAGAGAGAAAGAGAGAGAGAGAGAGAGGGAAAGAGAGAAAGAAAGAAGGAAAGGAAGGAAGGAATGAAGGAACGAAGGGAGGCAGACTGAGACCCAAGATGTAATGTGCGCCCTGCAAGGTGACAGCCACTTGTGTCACCTTGAGTGTTAGGGAACACGGCCATCTGACTCCTCCCCCACCATGCTGCTGCTTCTTTTAAAGCACAGCTGGGGAGGGATCTCTAGATCTCGAGTTATTCTCTTCACTAGTCTGGACGTATGAGATCAGCAGTTTAGACCACGCTAGGGGCACGTGAGGACGAATGGAAGCAGCCCAAAGTAGTCTAGAGGTCTTCTGCTAGCCTGGGCATCCTTCTGGAAGCCAGGGTAGAAGTCAAGGCTAGTGTCTTCTCTCTTGCCTGGAACTCCCACAGATCAACTCTCAACACAGGCAGCAGGAAGCCACCAGGACTTCATATTTACATGCCAACTTTCAGGTTTGGAGTTCATTTGAGATTTGGCCTTTAAACCAGCCAACTGCTATGATCAGGAATTTCTGAGGCTGTCAGGTCTTCAAAACTGTACTAGAAATCTAAAATTGATGTCAACAATCTCTAAGAGTGAGCCTCTCTTTCCAGACCACCCAGGTAGATGGGCTGGAAATGGAGTCCCACGCAGTCCCCTGATCCCACTGAGTGACTCCAGGTCTACAAAAAACGCCATCAGGTCCATGTGCTGTGAACCTCCAGACCTGCCCCCACCAGGTCAAAAATCCAGGACAAAGTACACTAGAGCCAGCCACTATCTGATAGGAGGTGAAAGAACCAGAGCCAAGGCCATGGATTCCAGGCTGGCTTCTGAGGGTGCTGAAACGATCCTTTGTTGTTCCAAAGTATGTCACTGCAAGGAGCCACCAGACGTCCCTGCCTCTGGGAGCCACAAGGGTTTAGAGACAGAGGTCAGGATGAGTATCATTCTACAACAGACCCCTAGAGAGTTTCCAGTGTGGGTGGGAAGTTCAGAGCATGGCTCCCGGCTTCAGTCCAGGTCTGCCAGCATTTGCCCAGAACACACGAGGGGGAGGTGTATCCCTTAACACATCCAGCCTCGCTTCCTCCTCTGTTAAAGGGATCGCTGTGAATCAGTGAGATAGCCTACATAAATCACCTTGAACTCCACCCATAGGTAGTCAGTGCCCATTAATGTTAGCTCCTATTCTAGCTTTACTGCTGGTATTGTTCCAGGGCCTCAGAATACTTTCCTACTAGGAAAGGACAAAAGGGATGGGGGATCTTGGGAGCAGAGCAGTACCCCAACCCTGCTCAGGAGTCCCCCACCCCATGCTTCCCAGTGCCTGCCATTCCCACAGTGGATGGTGCCTCTACATGATTCCACCTCAGGCATCATTTTCCCTAAAAAATACCCCTTCCCCTGACTTTCTCTCCACCTTCGCAGAGCTAGAAACCCTGCCTGGGAAGCCCATTTATGTATTAACAAAGGTCTGCTGAGGCAGGCTCTGCTCCTCCTGGGGGTGGGGGGAGGGGAATGACCATGAAGCTTGCCAGAGCTAAGGAGGGTCTCTTGGAGCTGCTTGTTTTACAGGCCCAGGGTAGAACCTTAAATGCAGGAGACTTGAAGAACATCAAGAACCATATTCTTACTCGGCAGCTGAGAATTTCAGACCCACCAGCCTCAAATGACTTCCCAAGGTCACACAGCTGGCAAGTGGCAGAGTTGCAACTAAGACACAGGGGTCCAGAGCCCTAACCCAGTGCTCTTTCCTCTGCACTTCATGGCCTCCAGACCAGTCACTAGCAAATGGGGTAAGGCCCGGAGACCGAGTCCCCAAGTGCCCCCTCTCCCTCACCCCTGCTCCAAAGTCAGGATACATTTTCTTCTCAGGTAGGCCAAAAGGGTTGTTTCTGGATCTGCATTTTTCTCCACCACCTATAAAAGCAAACACCAAAGAAAACTATATCAGAGGTATACTTAGTCATCGTCTCACCCAAGAATTTGTAGAGTTAATGGAGATGTGCTACATATATCATGAAAACGAAGGTGTTTTTCTTAATTCTATAAGATGAGCATATCAGCTGCAAGCCAAATCGTGTACCTGCGGACATGCTGCAATTGTAAAATTCTGCATTAGTGCTCAGCTCTGGACCCACCACAGAGCACTTAGGTACAGCGCTGGCCGTGCTGGGCTGACCAAGGCAAAGTTCCCTTCAAATTGAACAAGTCATTTCATTTCCAGCTGCTGGAGCACATTTGTGAACGCCAGGGACAGCTGGGAGCGGTGGCATGCAGACCTCTGGCTTTGCATCCTGGAGGGTGGACACTCAGGCGGTGGACGGCCAGTCTGCTGGCCTGTGCTCATAACAGAGTGTGGTGTGCGTTGGGTCATCACAGTCAACAGCACTAACACAGGTTAGAAATGGAGGAGAAATCTCAAACCAAAGGCCCACAAACAGAATGTTCAATAAGGCAGAAAGTTTGTCCATGAGGTGTGGTGCTAGTTTCAGATGCAAATCATCAAAGGAAATCTATGAAAAAATCTATGAAAAAATCAAAGGAAATCTATGAAAATCATCAAAGGAAATCTATGAAAAATTTCACTTCTCCTCATGCATCATCACGCCTAACAGGGTCGGGTGATTGGGATGCTTAAGGGGAGAGAATGTGTGATAAGAGTTTCTTTAGAGACACCTGCACTATGATTCTCACATCTTCCTAAAGTAGGAGGAGGAGGTATCTGCCTCACACCTCCAACCTCATGAGGGGCTTCTATAGCCCTCCCTGTAAAGCTCACATGCTGCAGGGCATATGGTGGTCTGGCTTAGCTAAAAGATAGAAAAGGTCTTACCAGACAAGCTGAGGAAGAATTGTAGTGTAAGGATTGATGTGCACTTCCAGAGTTTGGAAGAGCAAAGGATGTGAAATTGTTGTGCCATGGACCCAGCACAGGCCATATGTGAGAGAGAGAACTTGCTTGGAGGTGTTTAAATCATTCCTGGAAGACTGACTACAGGAGGTGATGGGACCTCCATCAGAGTCTGTGTGGAGTGGACCTCCCAAAACTGGAGTCTGAGGGAGAACAGCCAGACTGAGAAAACAGCCCCCTACACCATGTCATGAGACTTGCAGTTGAAGGTTCCCAGCAGCGGGAAGCCATCCTACACCAGCACCTAATAAATAAGAACTTTCTCACTACCCTCTCCTCTCTGTCCTGAAATGAAACTGTGTTTGGCAACTTATAATTGCCCATAGGATTTTTTGTTCACTAAGAGTAATCCAGAAGGTCATGAAACTACCAAAATTTACCCTTGAATAAAGTTGAAAGGAAAGTGGAAGATAAAATTAATTTTCTTTTATGATTACACCCCACAGGTACAGCTTGTTCAAATTTTCCTGGTTATAAATTTCACACAAGGAGTTGTTTCTTTTCTCTTGGAAATTAAATCATAAATGCACAAAAAAAGTCTTTATTACCTTTCTCAAAGATGGCAATAAGGTCCTCTTAGCCTACCAAGAGGCTCCTGCCTCCCCTTCCTCCTGCCCTGCTGCCCTCCTTTTATCACATCCCATCAGTTCTCTGCTCAGTGCCTTCAGTGACCTCCCACATATTCAAGGTAGCATCCAAGTTCCTTAGGCTGTCTTTCAAGACCCTTTTCAATGTGTCCCCAGTCTTCATTTTCAGCCTGTTCCCCTCCTGCTTCCCTGCCAAGCTGGTCTTCATACTCCAGGGAAAATACAACTTAAACCTTTTAACTCCTGTGCCTTTGGCCATTCCATTCCTCTTTCACCTGCATCTTGACTTATTAGAAGACCCCAAACACTTCCCTATCACCCCAGCCACAAGTGGTCCAACCTTCCTTGAATTCCTTGTAAATTTAAAATACCTTTAAAGTACAAAGTCTGAAAAGTAAGTTTCTTTAGTGGAGGGTTTCTCAGGGTTTTAATATTCATCCTTTCATTCTGTCCACATTCATTGGGCACCTACTATGTGCCAACACTATACAAAGTGG